TTGGAGGGTCCGAAAGTCAAACTACCTGCACCGTGCGAAAGTTTGTCCGCGCTCAGACCAATTCAACTGGCTGGCGGTGAACAAACTTTGTTTGCCGTAACCGCTGATGGAAAAATTTATTCGACTGGTACGGCAAACAACTAATTATCCTCAACGGATTGTTTTATACTCGTCGAACTTTAATGCGATGTTTTGCAGGCTATGGAGCTGCGGGACGTCTCGGAATAGGAGGAACGGATTCCGTTATGATCCCAACGCTATTGGAATCAATACAACATGTATTTATCAAAAAAGTAGCCGTTAGTTCGGGAGGCAAGCACTGCATCGCTTTGAGCTCCGAGGGTCATGTGTATTCCTGGGGAGAAGGCGACGATGGCAAATTGGGACATGGTAATAAGGTGTCGTATGATCGGCCGAAACTGATTGAAGATTTACTCGGTGTAGAGATTGTAGATATAGCTTGCGGTGGACATCACAGCGCCGCTATTACCAGTGCTGGTTGGCTATACACCTGGGGAAAAGGTAAGATATGATTACAGGCAAGTGAAGCGCTGAAATGCTTTTAAAAATATTTAACAATTGTTGTAACGTTTAATAAATATTAGAAAATTAGAAAAATGTATAGGATTTTGTGTTATAATAAAAGGATAATTGATTGCAGGACGGTACGGACGTCTCGGACACGGTGACAGCGACGATCAATTACGACCGAAAGTAGTGGAGGCTTTGCAAGATTACAAAGTGATCGATGTGGCATGCGGAAGCGGTGACGCGCAAACGCTCTGCGTAACTGACGATGATAATGTATGGAGCTGGGGCGATGGGGATTACGGAAAGTTAGGTAGAGGCGGAAGCGACGGATGTAAGGTTCCATTGAAGATAGATTCTCTGGCCGGACTCGGCGTAGTTAAAGTCGAATGCGGTAGTCAATTTTCAGTCGCTTTAACAAGATCCGGAGCGGTCTATACCTGGTAATAGCAACAAGTAGCATTTATTTTTATTATACCATTCATTCTTAATGACTTATTTTTTAACTATTCTTTTTTTATGTTTTTTATTTACGTGCAGGGGTAAAGGCGATTATCATCGCTTAGGTCATGGCACGGACGACCATGTACGTAGACCACGTAAGGTAGCTGCATTGCAAGGGAAAAAGATCATTTCGATAGCAACAGGCTCTTTACACTGCGTCGCGTGTTCGGATAAAGGAGAGGTTTTCACTTGGGGCGACAACGACGAGGGTCAGCTCGGTGACGGCACTACGAGTGCGCTTCACAGGCCAAGATTGGTACACGCATTGCAGGGCAAGAAAATCACGAGAGTCGCTTGCGGCAGTGCGCATACGTTAGCTTGGAGTACCGCGAAAGCAACGCAAAGCAGAATGCCAGCATCCACACCCATGGAATATGATCTGGTTAAAGATCTGTCATATTCCGTATTGCGTAATAGACTGGTGTTGCTACATCACTTCGCGGAACTTTTATGCCCTGCCTTGGCTATGTTTCCGATTACCAGTCATATCGGGCTGAGTAAATTAGCTCCTATGCTAGTGTATAGTATAAAAGAAGCGACATTCCGCAAGGTTATTCAAGCAACAATGGTCAGGGATCGTCAACATGGACCTGTGATTGAATTGAATAGAATACAAGTGAAAAGAGCTAGAGCCAAGGGTGGATTAGCTGGACCAGACGGTATCAAGTCAGTCTTTGGCCAAATGGTGTCGAAGATGTCTCTCTTGACACAGGATGTATTGTTTCTACCTCATAGGGTATGGAAAGTGAAATTCGTGGGTACGTATTCTCATTCACATATAATCGCGATTTCTTATTATTAGATTTCACAAAATCGTTAATACATTTATGTATATTATTTTAGGGGAAAGCGTTGACGATTGTGGCGGTGGTTATAGTGAAAGTATAGCAGAGATGTGTGATGAATTGCAAAATGGTTCTTTGCCATTATTTATACCTACACCAAACGGTCGCGAAGATAATGGCACAAACCGAGACTGCTTCTTGTTAAATCCCATGGCCGATTCTCAATTGCATATGAATATGTTTCAATTCTTAGGCATTCTAATGGGCATTGCTATACGAACTGGTAGTCCATTGAGTTTAAATCTAGCTGAACCAGTTTGGAAGCAACTTGCAGGTATACTTCTGACACCTGCGGATTTGACGGAAGTCGATAGAGATTATGTCCCTGGCTTGCTTTGCATCAGAGACATGGATCCCGACGAAAAGGTCTTTCAGACTTTGGAAATGCCATTTTCCACACCTTCCGCTGCAGGGCATGATGTGGCATTGTCTAACAGGTATTGCATTCAATAATTTTCAGATTTTATTAATTAATTATTTATTTATTTATTTATTTATTTATTTATTTATTTATTTATTTATGTATATTTATTTGATGTATGCGAATGTATTCTATAAAATATTTTATATTTATACAATAAAAACTGTTTTTTAAATTTTCAGATATCTTAAAATAACACCAGAAAATAGGCACGAATATGTAAGATTGGCGTTAGATTATAGACTCCACGAATTTGATGCTCAAGTAGCAGCGGTACGAGAAGGCTTATCGAAAGTCGTTCCTGTGCCTCTATTGGCATTATTTAGCGGTGCTGAACTTGAAACGATGGTTTGCGGTAGTCCAGACATACCGCTTAATTTATTAAAATCTGTTGCAACATATAAAGGTATATGTTTGATATTGCAAATGTGTTACATCGATGTACTTATATAGGTGATAGTTTTAAAATAAGAAAAATTGTCTTTTGTAGGTATTGAAGCAATGGCACCACTTGTTCAGTGGTTCTGGGAAGTCATGGATGAATTTTCCAACCCAGAACGATCGCTTTTCCTTCGTTTTGTTTGGGGCAGAACACGTCTGCCGCGCACAATCGCAGATTTTAGAGGCAGAGACTTTGTTTTACAAGTAAGAAGCCATTTATGTATTATTTCTTCAGTAAGAAACATTAAAAGGCAGTTACTGTATACCATGCCGTTTTCTTGTCAGGTAATGGATAAATACAATCCACCGGACCAGTTTCTTCCTGAAAGCTACACTTGCTTTTTCCTTCTGAAAATGCCACGTTATTCGTGCAAAGCAGTTCTACGACAAAAACTGAAATATGCGATTCATTTTTGTAAAAGCATCGACACTGACGAATATGCTCGAGTACAAGCTGCAACCAATTCCGACACTGAAGATACCGATAGTTTAGCAAGCGAAGAACACACTTCGCTTTAAATCATTCATTACGTGAAATGGTTATTTGTGTTTGAAGTGGCATTTCTGTTGACTTCTTTAAAAATGTGTTCACGGATTCTCCAAAAAGCAAAAATCCTATTTTTCTTACACGGATATTTATATACATATATATGCATATATATATATATAAACTACACTACGCTAATACTTAAATACATGTACTGCTTTTGTAGCACGACCAGTCTATTGTATAGTAGATGTTAATAACGAAAAGTAAATAAATCACTAAGATTATTAGGGTTCTCTTAGTCAGTATAACATTATTTACGTCGTAGTTAATATTGAATAATTACTTAATTCCGAAATTTTTTACTAGTATTTTTAGTCCAACGTCTAAACTAGTTAGTCTTCAAGAAATAGTTTATATAATGTCGTTATACATTTCGAAGTACATCTTTAGAAATACATTACAATTTGCAAAGCAGAAAGTATTATTAAATGTTCCACCATGATTTTTAATGGTTGCATATTTTGATCATACGTTAAAATAGTTAACATGTAGCGAAAACAGCCACTAGTCTTGTTATTTTACTAAATAATCAAACCGCGCTATAGATAGAAGAGGCAATGTCATTGATTATTTTCTTTTCACATTTACTGAATTATTTATTGATAATAAGACACATGACTTGACACATACTCAGTCACGACAGCGTATTTTGCAATCGAAATGTTCTGATACGATATCAAGGTCAAGAGAGTATTACTTGCATTGTCCCATACAGTCTATCAATAAAATTCTGAATGTATATAAATCTGTGAGAATAAAGTTCTCGTAAAAGTCGTAATATTCTCCAGAATCTATATTGGCAATAAAGAAAATTTTTTCTAGAAAATAAAGAGCTGATGGATTGATTTTATAGAAAATATAATTTACGATATTAAATTTAAAAATAAGATTCTTTCTTCTTTAATGCTTTTTAATCTATCAATTTACATTTCTTTTTTAGATTTTAATCTCACGTTAGCATTTTTTATAGAAAATAAGGACAATTTTATACCAGAACATATTTACTTTATAAGACAGAATAGATAAGTGTACAAAAAAAACGATAATATATGATAATATACTTTTAGTTTCACTCGATAAGAACTGATAAAAACTAATCTCATGGCGAAATTAGTTTCTTTTATTACCGTTATATGTCTTTCTCAACAATATAAGATATTTTTAGTGTATAATAATAAATATAATAACGCACACATTGCAGAATTATGAGCAAAAAAGAAAAAAACATAGATAACAGATTGAGGAACACTTGAGCAACCATGTAGCACTTCATGTAAATTCCTCTCCTTTTAGTATTGGTTTTCTTATTTTACATATTTGTAAACATATTGAGTAATGTTTTTGTGATTGACGTCATTCGTAATCTTTTTCGGGCGAAAAGCAGTACGGAAGCAGCAATCGAACACGGTACATGCGAACGCGGACATCATATATCGTGGATATCGTGAGTGAAAGAGAAGTTAACATTGAGAAATTTGATGATTCAATGAAAAATTCTTTGATAATGTACATACGTAGACATATACATATATAAGCGGATACGTTGTAAATAGAATGATTGTACGTTGTAAAGAATGTACCACAGCTAGCAGACTGTAGTTCAATCTGAGCAATATTGAGATCGCACACAAGCTGTCTTTACAAAGCATACAAAATGCTTCGTTTAGCAAGAAACAAGGTATTTAATTTGAAATTAATATATATTCAACGATTACGAAGATTTTATTTATTTTTGTAAAAAGATAAAAACCGTACATATTTCAATATGTCTTTTCATCACTTCAGTTACTTAAATGGGGTCTCGGAAATAATCGAACAGTCGCTACATTTAAAGAAAACGAGACAAAGAACATCGATGTTCCTAGCAATGCCGACGTTGTAATAATAGGTAACTAAGTTTATACCTGTAAAAACAAAACAAAGAACTGTATCAATCGGATTAACAGTTTAGATAATAATTGAATATTCTGTATATTGAATATTCCGTATTGTATATTAATTAAATTGAATTAATTTTTAACAATATCGTTTTTCGTATGTAGAGCCAAATAAATATCTTAACATTAATCGGTCTTAACGTTTATAGATATATATTAATATTTATTAACAAATTTAATAAAAATTTCCATGATAGGTGGTGGTAGCGCTGGTTGCAATGCACTTTATCAATTAGGAAAACGTGGAGTTAATGCAGTACTTTTGGAAAAATCTAAGCTTATATCTGGTACAACATGGCATACAGCAGGTCTCCTGTGGCATCTACGCGGAATATGCGACGTTGAGACGGAATTGATAAAAGCTTCGCGATTGCTTTACGCATCTTTACAAGAAGAAACAGGTATAAATCCAGGATGGATAAACAATGGTGGACTCTACATCGCTTATTCTCCTGTAAGTAGGAATATCTTCATGCAATTGATTTATCCATTTCTCGGAGAATATCTATTGTTTTTCATTATATCAATATCTATTGTTTTAGGAGCGAGTAGTCGACTACGAAAGATTAATTACTAGTTGTAAGAATTTTGGTATCGACGGGTACATGATTGATCCAGTCGAGGCGAAAGAAAAATTTCCCCTCATAGATAAAAATGCATTTCAAGCTGCGATGTATTGTCCAGCGGATGGTACGATAGATCCTGCCATGTTAGTAAATGCATTGAAAAAATCAGCGGAAAGAAACGGTTGTAAGGTATTTCTATCCATTTTCTTTATCGTCTGTTTCTACAACACACATATTTACATAATAAATTTAATTTTGTATTTCACAACAAATTTATTAATTATAGTTAGCAATTGGTAGAATTATTTGTTCAATGATGTATGTGTTTTATAAAAATGATTAAAACCAAAATAAAATGATGGTTAATTATTCATTGAAAACTAATCTAATTAAATATAATTTTTTAAGGTCATCGAAGATTGTCCGGTCACTAAAATTCTCGTAGAGGATATTGACGGACATAAAATCATTCGTGGAGTAGAAACGCCTCATGGTATAATAAAAACGGATGTTATACTAAATGCGGCAGGAGCATGGTCCGGAACAATAGCGCGAATGATAGGATTGGACATCCCATTAGTACCGATGAAACACGCATACATTGTTACTGAGCCGATGAACGTACGAGGGTTGCCAAATATTCGAGATCCCGATTTTAATATCTACTTTCGAGTGCAGGGTGGAAATATAAATATCGGAGGATACGAGCCTAATCCTATCATATTGAAATTTGTAAGTTGAATGTATGTTAAGATTAAACCTAATTGCTGTTATAGCAGAAATATGCGTAAACATGTAACAATTTAAATTCTACGTACTCTTGATTAATTCAAACGATATGTATTGACTAGCCGCCAGAAGACTTTTCCTTTAGTTTGTACGAGCTGAATTGGGATGTATTCAATACTCATATTGAAGCGATGAACCGTTTGATACCCACTTTAGCAACTGCTGGAATAAGGACAACTGTATGCGGCCCAGAAAGTTTCACTCCCGATCACAGACCTATCATGGGTACAAAATTTCATTAATTTACGATCGATGCTTGTGTGTGACATAGATACTTGAAATTTAAAACGATAATGTCCAAAAGGTGAAGATCCACGCTGCACAGGTCTTTATTATTCTTGCGGATATAATAGTGCCGGGATGATGTTTGGAGGTGGTTGTGGAGAACAAATAGCATTATGGATAATTAATGGACGACCGGACAAACACATGTTCAATCAGGACATCAGGCGGTAAAAATTTATTCAAATTATTTTTCTTCAAATCTTAATCTGTAGAACAATAACATAATTATTATTTACTTATCGAATTAACTTTTGTGTAAATGTACGAGTCATTACTTCATAATACGCTTTGTATTTCTTATATGTCGATATGTAAAATGTAAAATACAAAGTAGCAACATGACGAGCAGGTTCATTTTTATCAATATCTACAGTTAACGTTTTTGCATGTTTTTCTCAATCCAGATATATACCAGAACAAAAAAAAAATTCAATTTGGGTGAACGAACGGAGTCATGAAGCTTATGCAAAAAATTATAATATTGTTTTCTCACATGATGAACATTTAAGCGGTAGAAATTTGAAGACAGATCCTTTCCACAATGTAAGTTATACTTTATGTTAATTTAAGCTTTACTTTTCAATTAGATTGTACATCCTTTTTTTTTTCAAACACAATATGTTATTGCCATTTTTTAGTTTCTCGTCAACGAAGGTGCCGTTATGGAAGAGCGACAAGGATGGGAACGTCCAGGATGGTTCCTACTAGATAACAAAAAGGCTCCAGTATTACCTTATGATTATGGTGGCTATTACGATACACCAAAGAATATAAATGACACATATGCCGATATATTAAAAACAGAATGTACATTTAATTTTCCACCGCACGATAACATTGTAAGTTTCCCATTTTTTTTTAAGATTGGACTAAAATTATCATACAATGTTTTTGCGTTATTAAAAATATTGATTCGACAATTCTTTTTACGTACTTATAACAGATACGTGAGGAAGCACTTGCCTGTAGAAATAACGTTGCCTTATTTAATTTATCATACTTTGGAAAACATTACATATGCGGCCCAGACACGAAAGAAGCAGTGAATTATATATTTACGTCTCAGGTGGATCGAGAAATTAATAGAACTGTATATACTTGTATGTTGAATAAAAGAGGAGGAGTAGAAGGCGACTGTACAGTTACTGGTCTAGAATCTGGCTCGGGTGGCGTAGTCGATCCCATATTTAAGGGAAAAGCATTTTATATAGGTATCTGTTTACACATATCGTGCATTTACAACGCATTATTTTATTCCTATTTTAGATTATATTGATGATACTTTCATTTCTGATTTTAGTGAGTGGAGGTATATCATCGTATCATACATGGGCACATATCAGCAGTATAATAAGAGAAAAAAGTTTTAACGTATCTGTGCATAATGTCACGGAGCAAATAGGAATTTTATCAGTTCAAGGTCCTAACAGGTATCAAAAATTAAATGCGAACATGAACAGATATATATAATGTAATTGTTAAGATATTTTTCATATATCATTTTTCATATATCATATATCGTCCATATAATATTTTCCATATTATATTACTATTATTATAGCCGCCAAGTTCTTCAGATGTTAGTCGACGATGATCTTTCGAATAAATCGTTTCCATTCTCAACGTCAAAACTAGTGCGAATAAATGGTGAATTGGTACACATGTTTAGACTTAGTTTCGTGGGTGAACTTGGTTTCGAATTACATATTCCAAGAAGTTCGTGCGAAAAGGTTTACAAAGCTTTAATGGAATGTGGTAAAAAATATGATATGAAATTAGCCGGCTATAGAGCGCTCTACAGTTTAAGTTGTGAGAAAGGTGCGCAATAATATACAGAATGTATATTATATCTCTTGTAATTTTATCTCTTGCTATCTGTGTTAATTATTAATTTATTTATTAGGATATCATCTTTGGGGTACAGACTTAAGAACGGATGATAATCCAATAGAAGCGGCTTTAGAAATCGTCTGTCGCAAAAACGGCAAGTACTTAGGAAAAACATTTGTGGATCAGTGTCGTAACAATGGAATTAAAAAAAGATTGGTACATTTACACATAAATGAGTAAGTACAATACGTTTTGCAATACAATCTGACATTGATCTTGTTGTATTAATATTTAAAGCGCGCGTCACATTTGTGTATACTTATTTTTTTACAGTGATATACCATTATGGGGTATGGAGAGCGTTTATAGGAACGATAAATTAGTTGGTTATCTGAGAAGGGCTGAACATGGATATACCTTTAAGAGTAGTATTGGACAGGCGTAAGTAAATTCATAATATGAATAAATATGAATACTATATCTATATTGTATATGTAAAATTAATATATACATCTTTTTTATTATTCAGATATATCATAGCTACAAATGGACAAAATGTTACAAAGGAATTTTTAGAAACAGGTACTTACCATATTGAAGTGAGAAGGAAAAAGTATCCCGCAAAGATGTATCTTCGAAGTCCATTTGATCCACAAAACAAGAGATTATTAGGTGTATATACAATATAAAAGCTACTTATTGATATTATTTCTTCCGATTCTAAATCATCTGTGAAAAATAATTGTATGTACGTTTTAATAATCACATTTTGTATTTTTTTCATACATAAAAGAAATAATATAAATTACTTGTATTATTACAATGGTTGTTAAAAAACATTTTATCTCTTAGATCTATCCCGCTAATGGATTAGCATGTATAGTTACATTGTTTATCCTGATTTCTGCAAGTGGTTTGTAATTTTTAGGGTTTATTGGTAGTTTTTCCAATTGTTCTAAGGTTTCTAAACCGTCAATGACTCTATGAAAAGTGAACAAAAAAATCAACAAAACATCACAATTTTAAAATGCTCTTATTAGGGCTATGCAGAAATTTTATCCGGATTCATCCAAGTATTATTTTATCCTTGTATAACATTGAACAATAAGGATATTTAAAATGATACTTGAGTGCAGTCTGATGAAATTTCTGAGTGTGGCTTAAGTAAAAGGACAAACTTACTTTCCAAACAAAGTATATTTTAGGTCCAGATGTGATTGAGGCGCATAAGTAATGAAAAACTGACTGCCGTTTGTATTAGGGCCATTGTTAGCCATAGAAATGAGACCTCTTGCATTATGTTTAAGCTCCTCTTTAAATTCATCTTCAAACTTGTGATTCCATATTGAGGTTCCTCCTTTACCCGTGTTGGTAGGATCTCCAGTTTGGACAATGAAGCCTTTTATATTCCGGTGAAACAGGCAATTGTCGTAGTATCCACTGGCACAAAGCGCAAGAAAATTCTGAAAGTCAATGTCTGTATTATAAATATTTTTTTCTCAGAATTAATATATCTCTAATTACACTTCAGGATTATTTTTTTTCAGCACAATATATTTAAATAAAAGTTGTAAAAATATATAAAAATTGAAATATGATAATTATCATCAAATTAATTACAATGACATCAATCTTCGAGATTGAACTTGTTGCTTGTCTCTTTTTATCTAGATCACAATATCAATTAGTTAGCCTTATAATAACAATAGGATATTGATATAGATAAATCTAGATAAGTTCAATGATTTTTTTGTAAACAAGTACAACTAATCTTTAAGAATTTTTAACTCAAGTTGGATTGTAATCTGTTCTTTTGTATAATATTATATTGAACGTAATTTATGAATAATCTATACCTATTATCTTTTTCTTGTATACTTCTGTTATTGCAGAAATATAATAGATTTAAAGATTTACGATTAGGTACATTAATTGATAGACAATTAATACTTGTAATACTAATCAAGGACTTATATCAGAATTATTTAGTTTCTCTGATAAGTTTATTCAACAAAAATAACTGAAAATATAGGTTATACCTTACTAAGGATATAATCAACGCGATGTTGCAAACGCTTTGAAGTGTTTTTTAATTGATCCATCGAAGCATTTGTAGCAAGACTGACCACAACCTAATAATAGGATATTGTTACAGAATAATATACTAAAAAATTTATACCTCGCATGTCTTCGGGCACATCTCGCAAAATAGTTCTATTTTGATATCGCCAACGTCCGTATGCAACGTTACGCTCTAAAAAAACACAATATTTCCATCATTCAAATCACACAAACAGGTTATGAAATATTATAAATAATATACCATTTTTCACAATGTATGTCGTGCGTTCAATTCGAAGAATCTAATCTAACTTGAATAATTTTGATTTGGCAAATGAATTTTTGCCACAATTAAATCCTTGCACTTTTGTTTTACCGTCTTCGATCAAACAAGAACTTGCGAGAACTGACGAGAACGTACTAGCAGAGAGGGAAAGCTAGATCTTCAAGAACGTACGAATCGGAAGGAGGAAGTGCAGGAAGTGCAGATGAAATTTGCGCACGAGATGCGCGTGGGTCTGGAGTCAAATAGCATCCATAACGATCACCAACTATACAGAAGTATGATATTTATATTATTATAATACATATTAAATTGTCATTATATTATTAATTAATAATTATCATTATTATTTTTGTATCGATACTCTCGTAACAACATTAATATGTCAAAGTCTGGCACATACTTTAGCATGATTCGTATATTAAAAAAAAAAAGAATTTGTAAACGTAAACGAAGTTTTCACGTTCGAGAGAAAAGATCGCTAAATCATTGAATGACGAGGAAAATCCCGTTGCGCGTTACGAGAAGAAAAATAAATAGCGTAGCATCACTGGCATCTCCTACATTTGATCCCGTCAGTGGCGAACGAAAGGAATTCGCGCGAAGCAGCGCCGCGAACGGTGGCGAGACACACTATTTCTCGTATTGCGTGCGTCTACCCGTCCACTCTCCTGTCGCACGCACGTCGCACAACGGACAGTGGTGAGACGAGCGGAAATAGTGATTCCGTGAATCTCCCCGGGGCGCTCCATTTCCGTAAGGAGTAACCTACGACGCATCGTCGGACGGACCGCGAGACACAGCGGGTTTACTAGCAGTCGCGATCGTGGGGATCCATTTACGCGAGGGGGTGAGAATCGGTTTTTTTTAGCACGTCGCGGCTAAGCCGGGATCCGCCGACGAGTGGCGCGTCTGTGAGAACGCGCGTTCCCCTTGGCGAGAGCGTGACGTAATTGTATTGATCCGCGGCGGAGGAAGGGCCCGAGAGAGTCGCACATTCGCCATCTTGGACGAATTGGTAGAGAAAAGAGGTATTTCTGCGTCCCCGTCAGGCCGCGGTGCCGTCGTGTCGTTAGGTGGTGTGTAATCCGTGGCAATCCGCGCGTTAATCTAGTTTCACCGGGAGTTAACCCTGTTGTGAATTGGTAACCCATTTGGACGGACCAAGGTAAGTCGTTATTTTCCTAATTCCGCCACGGCCTCACGGGGCCGCCAAGTCCTTCCTACGTGGATACTCCTCGGTCTGTACCCGACACCCCCTCCTCTCCCCCTCATCCGTTCCCCTCCCCGCGCGTGGCCCATCCGCTTTCTTCCGACGCGACGGGTGTACCGTTATCGCGGCGAAAACTACATCTCGGCCTCGTCGTGTCCGTCTCTCTCTCTCTCTCTCTCCTTTTCTCTCTTTCTCTCTCTCGAATCTCGTCGAACGAACCACGTACTTACTCGAGCGGATCGTACCTTGTTTTGAGCGGTCTCGCGATCTTTTGACATCAGCACGTCTACCGAGGGGTTGGATCGCCCGAGAGCACACCTGCCCTCTCGTCAGCCGCCCCCTCGTCGTGACACCGCGGTAGATAAAGCGTTCGCAATAAGTCGACGAGTTATTTTCGTCGCTTTTACTTCGGTCTTTTTTATCATACGCGCGAGCGTTTACTCTGTCAGCGTGACAGACAAAGCTTTTTCTCGGAGCCTACTCGTACCGCTAACGCACTTCCTCGTCGAGCGACATTTGCGCGCTTTAGAAACTCTTCCACGCTACTTTCGCGCATTACCGAGACGAATTACTATGGAATTAGAGCTGGCACGTTGCTACGTTATAGGAAGTTGATCTTGGATTGTTTAGAAGTACTTGAACATAGTGCTATATGTTATAACGTTTATTGTGTTGATATTACAATCTGTTATAATGTATCGTGATTCTCGCTTGATTATCTGTTCTATTGAATAAATACTGTAGATGTATATTTATAGATGATGTATATATGTATAAGTAGTTTTTATAATGATTACATTTTCTATTATTGAACATAGTATTAATTTCATTTATTTAAATTTTAAAGAATATATTTTATATAATTCAAGAAAGTTTTTCAAAATATGATTAGTATTGAAATTATTATGTTTATTTGAATATAATTAATTTCTTTACCATGATTTTCTCAAATTACAGTTGTATTTTTAATATTAACAAAGAGGAAGGTAGAGAAAGTTATTTAGATAATTTTGTCCTTGCAGACAAAGGGTTCGTTCTTTGGGTCTGATTGGTACTAAATGGTTGCGTGCAGACAGCATGTCTACTCTGTCAGGGATTGTGTCGAAGGGGGAGAAAGGAAAATCCAAGTTTCAATCATTAGATATCAATAGCTTGTACCGGGTGAGTAGGGTGAGTTGGCCAACATTTTATTATTTTTTCTTATTAGTTCTCTGAGAGTTGCCTTTGTTTATAAATGTCTCTTATTGCAAACTTAGATAAGCCAGTTTAAATAATTATTTTTAATTTTACCAATCTTATCCATATACATATTTTAATACATTATTAATTATTAATATAGAATTATTACATACATAAAATAGTATTTAAGCATTTGTACAGCTTTTTTTAATATTTATACTATTGTTCGAGAAAAAAGTTTTTGTTTACAATGTAAACTAATTAAATGTTTCCAATTGACATTTTCAAACAGGGTGAATCTTTGGAGCCACATCAGCAGAAAAATACATTACCGCGCAAACATGGAATGCAAAGTCTTGGAAAGGTGCCTTCGGCACGGCGTCCTCCAGCTAATTTGCCCAGTTTAAAAAGTGAAACTAGCAGCAGTGATCCGGCTGTCAGTCTTGTGCCAAGTGGAGGAAGTGGTTGGGCTACTACTAAGGATTCAACATCATCGACCACTACTACTACCACCACAGTAGCAACTTCATTAGATAACACTACTGTAAGTTTTTTATTTCAGATATTTCTTTTATAGAGAAAGGAATGAGAAAGAATTTATTGTTCCTGGATTATAATTCACTTCATATTTTTTTTTATTTTCTAATTGTCATAAATATCTATTTGTAATCTATAATAATTTATAATTGATTTTATAAAATCGAGGCATACACGTATATAGGATGAGAATTGAGATCCTGGGTTTTAATGAATTGACGTATCATACAGAGCCCTGCCTCATCTAATTATTATTTCTTTTATAAAATAGTTATATTAAAATGAATGTTGCATTATCTTCTGTGTATTTTATTTTATTCTCTTTGTTGGTCTCTTGGATGCTATTTAGCTTTATTTAATTAATTTTAATCATTATATGATAAAGCAGCTATAATCTCTGAAAATTTTTTAATAAGAGGAGTATTGTATAAATTGTATTAAATGTTTAAATTGCATATTATATTTAATCCAATATATACTATTAAAATTAATATTTCTTTACAGACTGTCTCTTCAACAGCACAATGCGCAGCAGGGACCTCTGTTTCAACATCCCTACACTCTTTACTGCCGACACAACAAAATGCGTCACAAGCTCCTTTTTTGGATCAGACAAACAACAAATCATCATGGAGCGCGATTATGAGCAGATCAGGAGACGGTATGTAGAAAAATATGCTCTATTAGCACTACTGGCATGTATGCATAATATTAACATAAAATGTTAAGATTTTAAGTTATTTATTTTTCTTCATTTTTCACATTTTCCGTTCCATTAATACACTCTTAAACTCATTTATCTGAAAGCAGGCATGTATGCTTAAAGTAATATAAAGAAAATCTTGAAAGCGTTGAAAATTCTCTAACGACTAAAAATTTCTAATAGTATCTAATTAATTATGATTAAAAGGTAAACTTCACTTTTCCACGTGTAGATATTCATAATCGCTTCCTCTTAAAAAAAATATGACCATAGGCGACGACAATGCCTGCAACATTGAGAGAAAGAAAGCAGAGAGGTACACGGACAGACAGGCACAGAGAGAGAGAGAGAGAGAGAGAGAGAGAGAGAGAGAGAGGGTCATTGGTTATGTATAAATTATTGTTTTCATATGCTGATCAATAGCATTAAATAGGTTGAGAGTTAATATAATTGATACATTGTACTATTTACGCAATATAGTATGAATCTATTAATATACAATTGTGCGATATAATATTACTGTAATGATATTGCACATAGTATTTATTTAAAACAATCTATTGGAATATATAAACGCACGTAACTATATCATGAAACATTAGATGTCCAGAGTTGGATTGGTAAAGGACTTTACAAACACTGAGAAAATGATATAGGATATAACAGTAATCTTATTCAGTTAGTATCTGCAACACTTATATTCTTTTAACATCCATTTCTGGACGTTGGGCATGAGTAAAGTATGAGCGGAGTGGTGTCGTTTGGGTGGTGCAATTAATTGATAGGTACGCCCATTGTGGCAGCAGTGGTTGGTTACGCGGGGCTCGTGGGGGGCGCGAAAGGGGGAAGAGGTGCCCTTGGACTGAGTTTCCTCGCCCACCAGTCCCCGCAGTTCCAACACGAGTTTCCCAGTCTCAGTGGACAGCCGTCCGCCTCCGTCTCCACTCAGAGCCAGACTCAACAGTCCTCAACAACATCCAATGCAATCTCAGTCGCAGTCCATCAATCGTTACTACAGCAACAGCCGTATTCCCACAACCACTCAGGTGGGGTACTGCTTGCCTGTTGCTGCTAGATTCAAGATTTTTATCTCTTTATCAGTAGTGCTCTCTGTGCTTCTTCCAATGATGGCTTTTTATAAGGTTGCATTTCGATCCATTAAATTTACTCTATTATGAGTAAGATGGAAGCTGCATAGATTGATGTAAATAAATCTGTTAGCAATTAAAACTGCAGCAGATGGACAAGAATGCGCTGCATGTGCATTCTTGTCTCTATGGAAAAAAGGCCAATAATGGGTCTAGTAAACTATGCTTTAAGAAGTAGTAGTTTATTTACACATTGGATGTTTTATGAAGACTTTCTACATATTTTTTAAAAGTATTAGTGATGATAAAACATGTTTTAAAGTAATGAAAACCATCTGATTTTGAAATATTTAATTATATAATGATGTTATGTAAAATTAAAGATTTTTATCTCTTATTAATATTTTTCTTTTATCATATTTTGATTCATTTTAAAGAAATTTTAATAAATTTTAATAATTTTGAAATTATAAATTTGCTATTATTAGATCTTTTCTTTTTTAGAAATACTATATATATATTAATATTATTATTATACACTTATCAAAGAAATTAATCATTAAAAAATTTGTTTAAAGGTTAAATATATTTTTAATCTCAACTGCAATTAATTATATGATATAATTTCTTAAAATTTGTACTATTTGAAGAACATATTTATATATTTAAAAAATAAAAATTTTGAGAAATCTCTTGATTTATTATCAAGATTCATGAATAATTTTCTTTGTGGAGTAGTCAATATATTTGACATTATCAGTAGTAAAGATTTATATTGATAAAAAATATTCATATATATATATATGTGTATGTATGTATGTATATATTCATATTGATTATGTTATAATTTAAGTAATAATGTAAAGGATTGACTTGACTCTAAATGTTGATCTGCATCATTATGTACGTTAAGTAGAAAATTAGATGATAGTACCACAGTATGTACCGAATCTCGCACATCATTTTTTACATTTTACTATTTTTGCAATCAAATTTAGAAAAACATGTATTTAGAATCGAGATTGGTACATAATGTTAAGAAACATGTACTCCTTGTTCTTTTAATTCAGTGAATCTTTCTTAATAGTTCGGGTTATTCAACTCCAATTTCTTCATATTTTTAAGAGTGCACCATGAAATGCATTATACTATGACATTCTGTTATGCAAAATATTCATATTACTTAATACTTCTCTTGTAAATAAGTTTATATGTGTTTATATGCAGAAAAAATAATTTAAACGTACATTTACACTATCCCAGACATCGTTAAATACGTATGATTGTAACAAGATTATTATAATTTAATAAGATTTGTATGAGAGAATGTATTTAACATAAAGCTAAAATTTGAAATTTTTTATTGTTTGATCGATCTTAAATACATTCATGATATAATATCATTCTATGTGTCACAGAATAATTATAAATTTCTAGTTATTTTGATATTACAATATATATAGCAAAGAAATATATAAATTTAAATATTTTGATTATTTTATAAGAAATGATATGTAGTATATAAAGCATAATATATAAAACAATTCTAATGACTATTTGTGTCTATATATATTGTAATTAAAAATTATATACTTTATATAATATAAGATGAAATTATATGTTTTATCAACTCATGTGATTTATTTTCATTTCAGAAGAAATTAGATATTAATTTATTTTTTGAATAATCTAGCACTTTATCTTCTGTGCTTTATTTGTATTATTCAGTTCTTTGTTATGTCACGATACTATCTCTATAAAGCATGTTGTTATATATACGTGGGAAAGTTTTATGCACAATTTATGAAATAATCACGTGTGAGCATGTATCTTGTTTATCTCACTTATCTCACTAAATATTTATCTTTTTTTTCGTTAGTTGGATATGTTTTGTACTAGAGACATCGGAATACAATGTATTATTTATTTATTTTTACTTCTAATATAATGAATAAATTATGTAGGTGGGGTACCGGGAAACCAACAGCCATCGAATCGAGAGTTAAATGCGCAATATGGTCCAGGGCCAAGTCTGCGTCCACAGAGTAAGTTTCCTTTACCTTAATTATTGTAAAATCGTCTGATTTAAAAGTATACAAATTACTCATTTACTACTGAATCTTTACAGCCGAAGGAAGTTGGATTCAAGGCGGAAGTCGTACGGCAAGTGGCGCAGTGCCAGTAACATCAGCTGGTCCCGGAAATGGGAATACTCCGGCGGGCCAGGGCCTCCCTTTAAATATACCTGTTTCAGGAGGACATACCCAGGAGGGACCCGGTGGAGGGCGGCAGAACTTGGGCCAATCGCCCAACATGGTCGCGGGCCCGGCAGGCCAGCATAATTCCGTAAATAATCAAGGTTCTGCGCCTTCTTCCGGTTCTCATCAGATTGGGCCAAACCTGCATCATTATCGGGGTCTTATCCCGCCATTTGTAAGTTCATTATCACAATTTTGAAAATCTTGTCTTTTTTTTAACTTGCATAACTAAATGTAATATGTGGTCTTTTTAGATGTATAGATCAAATTTTCCTGGTGGATTTTCTTCACAATTTTCATCCAATTCTGGATCTAACAGTCCCCGACCTAGATTTAATCATCCTTTGGATCGATTTCCACCTCCTCAACGTGAGCGTATGGGTGAGGAAGAAATTCTGACTAGACCCATCATTAAAGAAGAAGATCTTACTCGTATGGATGATATTTCCCGTGACGCAGGATGGGCTGCGCATGATGATATTGATTATAACCAAAAATTGGCCTTTAGCGACGATGAAGCTGAATCAGAACCATCGAAAAATGACGAGAAAAAAGATATCAAGGAGAAAAAGAGCGATGACAATGTTACAGAAGAAAAGGAGAAAGCTCGAGATAATCGAGATCCGAAAGAACTTCGTGATCCGCCGCATCGTCCTTGGACTCAACCTATGAATCGTGATTATCGTGGATCGAATGGCGCGAGTGGTGGCTATGCCAGTCAGTCACAATTGCATTCTGTACATGCTTTGAGAGGTAAGTATAATTAAAATATTAAAATAAAAAAAGTGTATTGATTTTAGTCATATTTAATACTTTTATCTTTATTATAAACAGGTGTTGAAGACGACGAGACATGGAATGAACGACGTAGAATCAAGGTTGAGGTAGCGTCTGTTGTCGAACGTGCGCGATTACGCAAAGAAGAAGAGGAGAAACGTTTCCAGGAATCGACGAAGCAAGCAGCAGCTAAGAAATTACAGGATTTGGAGCAAAAGCTGAAAGAAAAGCAAGCGAAGCATAAGGATGAGGAACGTGCGCAGTCTGGCGAGTCTAAAAGCTTGATCAGCATCCCGCCTGTACCTCTTCCTATACCCGAGTGGGAGAGGGAGAAAGAGAATAGAGAGCGAGAGAGTAGAGAACGGTCCCGCACTTCGTCCGAAGGGAAAGATGAGAAAATCATCGCATCTGTACGTGAATCTCGCGACAATCTAAGAGAAGGTAGAGATCAAGGATTGACAGACTTTCGTCAGAGCGATCGACAGAATTTCTTACGACAACAGGACACAGTGCGTAGCGAACGTGAAAGAGAACGTGATCGTGATCGTGATCAGAGAGACTCAAGAGATCGTGAGCAACCGGCGTTCTCTCGGCACTTTCAGAATAATTTACCGCCCAGATTTCAAAAGCAGCAGGCAGAGAGAAGCAGTGCAAATTTCAACCGAATTTCACCGAATGCAGAAAGACCTGCTTCCCAGTCTGTTCCATTTTCCCAACAATACGATCCCAGTAGATGGCTTCACAATTACAATTCATTGAGTAAGTTTTTATGGATCACTTTTGTAACTTAAAACTTAATTTCTTATATATATTTTAATGAAAATAATTATTAAAAATCTTTACTATTTTATTTTCATTTACAGCACGATGAAATAAAGTTAGTAGATGTAAAAATTCTTATAATTAGTGAATAAAAGTATAAAATGCGAATTCTTAACTTGGTTAAAATTGGATATAATAATCTTTAACATAATATTTCCGTACATTGTTTTAAGATTATTTAATCGTTATTTATTTTTTTTAAATAAAATTAAAAAGTCGTGCATTATAATTATTAAGTGAAACTTGTATTAGTAGATAGTGGTATGAAGCAACCCATGCCATCGCAACGTCGTAATAGAACCGATTCGGACGCTTCGGCACCATTGGATGATGAACGACCTCCGTCTCGAGATCATCGCGGTAGTGCACCACCGTCGAGAGACGATCGCTATCGACATTCTTCGCATCGGTCCTATGATAGCCGCAAGCCGGGTGGCTATTATGACGAATACAGCCGTAATTTCAGAGACTATGAGTACGATGACAGGCATCCTCGTGATTCTTGGGAACGCGAAAGACATTTTGATGATAAAGAACGAGATGCGAAGGAGAATCTGGACTCAAGGGATAATCGAGATACCCGCGACAGTCGTGATACTCGTGACACTCGAGACGGTCGCGATGTCAAAGATTCTCGTCCTACCAGTCGTGATGCTCGAGACGTAAGAGATGCGCGCGACAAAGATAAGAAGGATTACGATAATTATTCGAAGGTAAAAATATGAAACGAAATCAATTTTTATGACACAAATTTAATCAATACTTATATTAACTTGCTTATTTTATATACACATTTTTTATTGTATAGGATTCTTTCGATGAGCGAGAACGCGAACAAAGGGAACGCTCTGAGAACCCAGAGTGGCGTGAAGAACGCAACGTGGTACAAGACAGACAACTCGACGCGGTGCACGGAATGAAGAGCGTAATGAACGTCCGCAGAGACCGGACTCGCGTGACAGTCGCACCTCCAGAGAATCGAAAACGTCTTTGCGCGATGACGAACTACATAAATTACGGGATTGCAGTTCCTGGGTGAACGAAGTGTCAGATTACGAAGAGAAGAAACGAGATTTGTATCATGAAGAAACTACAGAAAGGAAAAGAAATAGAAGGCAACCGCCAGGTCCAGTTACTAAAGAGAAGATCGAAGCAGACGAATTGAAGAATGAGAAACGCAGTTTGACTCAATTGAAGAGAGGTAGTTCTGATCTTCAAGAGAAGAAGGAACAGCCGAAAGAAATTTCCACTGAGACGAAAAAGGATACGGATGTGTGGAATAGGAAAACGGAACGTACTCCGGAAAGCAGACAGATCGAGAGGGGTGATAATTCGCCGAAGGCATGGGCTGACGCGATATCACCGACATTCGAGAAGGAAGAGGAGAAACTGACAGAAGCTGCTAAAGATGGCAAGGAGACCGATGAAATTAAACAGACCACATTGGATAAACCTGCTTTGGAAAAGAGGGAAGAAACTGTTACCGAGGATGCCAAAGAGCAAGCCAAGGACGAAAAGAGAGAAAAGAATACACGCAATAGAACGAGTAGCAGTGGCTCCAGTTCTAGAATTCGGGAATCTCGAGGTGGACGTCAGTGGGGAGGAACTTTCAGCGTTTATACTCGCGGTTGGCGTGGTCCAGAATCTAGAGGACGAAGAGGCGGACCACGACCTGCCGGTAAAGCTGGGATGTCTGCCAAAAGTGGTTCGTACGGACACACCGATTCTGAGAACAGCGCTGACGAGATATCCGGCTCCACCGAGTCTGGAAAAGAGGATAAGCGATCGGCTCGTTCTCCGAAACCGTCTCAGAAGGTTGAGAAGGAGGAACGCAATCGCGAGGTATCGAGACGGGACGACAAGCGAGGCACAGAGTATTCTCAGACACGCAGCGAGAAAAGAACGTATGACGGTAAGCCTAGTCACGAAGCTTTCGCACCGTCAGGCGAACCATCTCGACGAGGCAGAGGCGGTTTCCGTATTCGGAATACGGCCACGGGCAGTCGTATGGAAGGCTACGGACCGCCGTCCAGTAAGAGTCCGTTCTCATCGGAACGTAATGCGGACGAGAAACATCAGCAACAAACTGCCGGACGGCAAAATCCACCGACCCCAACCTCAGAGAAAGAGGCAGGTCTCTTACAATCTGCGCCAGTTGAGTCTACCGATGACAAGATAATCGCGAAGCAACAGGCACTTACAGCGGGTATCACAGGTAGACGTAATAAGTCTCCGAGTCAACAAGCCCAACAATCTGGTAACAAGCAAGAAGCGAATCACGCGAATCAAGTTACCAACGCCCCGTCTCAAAAAGCGCAAATGCGAAAGGAGGAATCACGTTCTAAGAGGACTCGTAGTGGAAGCAGGAGGGTACGTACATATAATTATATTTTATTTTCTTATGCTACACAAATATATATATATATAGAGCGTTCTTTTGCTAATATATATTTTATATCTACATTCTTTATTAATTTCAAGAAATAAAAAATTTAAAAAACAAGACATTAGCAAATCAAAAGATTCGAGATTAATATTAAATACTTCATTATCATTCTTTTTGAAGTAAGTTCCAAAAGGAGTAATCATCTTATATTGTTTTATTCATAATCTTTTAATCAACCTCGTATAAAGGATTTGGAATCTCTTTTAATGATATAACACAATGCATTATCGTGTTTCAGGGAAGAGATAATCGCGAAGCTCGTTCGCGCGGTAGCAGTGGCACTGTATCGAAGCAGCCGCAGTCGGACGTAGGCAACGAAGATTGGGAAACCACTTCGGAGAATAGCGAGGAGCATATAGATGATCACAAAGAGTCTCGTAATAATCGTAACAAGCATTTCGGTGGACGATCCATTCAATCTGCGAGTCAAAATGCTATCGGCGCGAATGTGCATTCCCGTAGAAGCGAGCAATTGGCAAATGCTAGAGAGCAACGAGAGAAAAATCCCAAGTCTTCCAATCCGGCATCGCGAGCTCCAGGGGCGGAGAAGCGGAATTTGCAGAATGTCGGATTTAGCGCTCAGAAGAATCACGCTGATGGTATACCGCCTCTGATGCAAAATGCGCAAATACAGAATGGAGGAAGGTCTAGGAGTCAGAGTTCGACTAACAGTGGCGCGATTGCAAATAAACCAAATAACAAAGATAGTATGGTTAATCGTATAGATGAAATTAAGCTGAGTGATCCAAATTTGGTAAATCAGGCGCTGAACGATCTTAATAAGAAGTCTCAAACGAAAGATAAGAAGTTGGTGGATTCGGAAATTGAAACGAATAGTTGTACCGAGGACGCTACAAGTGTTGTAGCGGAAGATAAAGTGGATGCTGACGGTTTCCAAGAAGTGCGTTCGAAGAAGAACGTGAAAGAGTCCAGACATAATCAGAAGGAAGAAGTAAAGCCTGTAAAAAGAGACAAAGAGAAGGAGCGTGAACGTGATCGTTCAAAATCGAAGTCAAATGGATCGCAGCAAGTTCTGCAGCAGGTACAGAATATACCGCCTCTACTTAGCCAGAATATTCCGCAGCCAGCAAATATACCGCAGAAGCAGTACGACAATCGAAATTCTCGGAATCCAAGACTGGCGCCGCGATTCCAACGTCTAGTGAAGCAACAGCAACAGCAGTTGTGCGCAACTGATGCGAGCGATATGACAAAGTTGAATAGCTCTGGTAACAATTATACTAAAGACTCTTCTAATAGTCCTGCTCCTCCACCAACGGTCAATGCTTGGGACAAACCTTTCACAAGTCAATTGCGCTCGAATTCTCCATCTGCGGTTCCTACAGATATTCAGCTGATATCTTTAACAGCTCAAAATGATCACAGCCACGAAGGTAATGAGGCTAACTCTGGACACAGCAGTCAACGAAATTCACCGAGTGGTGAGAAGACGGGAAAGAATCTGAAGGAGCCTTTAACAGAAAAGAATGTATCCGATGTATCTTCACCTCCCGTACAGACTTTAATCTTCGAGAATACGAATTATTCAAAAACGACCAAGACGTCCGGACCTGCGGATCTGGCAGTAAAATCCAAGTTTTCGAACCATATCAAAACGCAACAGCGAGCCGAGAAACGTGCAGAAATAGAAGAAGAAGGAAATCAAGTCCAACAGCATCAGCAACCGGCTATCTCCGTTGCATTTTCCAATAAACCGAATGACTTGATCAAGGACAAGAATCAGGAACCCATTCAAATGTCTTTATCGTTCAATAAAAACGAAGATAATGCCGATATGAAATTGGACTTCAACTTTGAGTCTGAGCTTTCACAATTGGATGATAAGAGCAAGAGTTTGGGCATGGCACGTTCCATACACATGACTGGTGGCCAGAGCACGATATCGCCTTCGACTGCAGAACTCAATCTGAAAATCGCATCCGTGAAGAAAGTTTGGGAGAATGCACCACCGATGCCAACCGTGGTCGAACACGAAGATGGTACCAGTGTTGTCAGCAGTGCGACTAGCTTTCCGCAGGCATTTGAAAGCGGCGACGTCGACGACAGTTACAGCCCCCATCAACAATACAACCAGAGCAATATAAAAAATGAAATCACAACATCTACGAACGTATGCAAGGTGAGAAATCATTTCGCGAATATTTCTTTATACTGTCATGTTATTGTGCATGCAATCGAATTGTTATGTCATTAAAATTACTCAAATATTTTTTGTTTGGATTGTTATTGTTATTATTATTCATAATTATGTAATTACTTTTTAATATTTTTCTTTTTTGTGTTTGAAAAATTCTGTCTAGTAAGTGTGGTGAAAATGAGAGAGGTAAGTGGCTAACATCTTCGGCCAAAGGATATTCAGTCAGCCACTTGTCAATAATCAATATCGATTTAACAGAAATCATCTTTATTTTTATTCTTATCATTATCATTATGTCAGTGTTATTGTATTTACTGTAATATCATCATCCATTGTCATTATTATGCATTGCCATTATTATGACCTTTCTTGCTATTATTGATTACAAGGTATGTTACTATGATATAATAAACCTATTCATTTTCACCAGATTTTCAAAACAGATTTGAAAATGACTTTCATTTTGAAATTAATGCTTGTTGAGAATGTCCTGTTGACATGATGTGTATAACAACTAAATATTGAAACACAATGTCCCTTGTGGGAAGACGCTGACTCTTTGCCTGATGCGCAGCTGGTTCCCCCGCAGGTGAAGCCGCAGCAACAGTCTTCAGGGAGCAGTGGTACACAACCAGGATCTACCGTACCTGGACCAAGTCCAATTGGAGCTGGTCAAAGTCCCATTGGCCATCCTCCTGTTAGTCTCCAAGGTCCTTTAAGTCCACCTCCATTCAATTCTACAGGGCAGCCCTCGCATATTAACTATCAGGTGTGTTGCGTTCTTATTGTTTATTATTTCAAGAATTAATGCAAAAGATTGAATATTAAGAGGAACAATCTTCTTTTTGCCTTTAGGAATTCCCACAGTATCCTGGTTCACAGGCGGCACAATACGGTGGTATGTCGGCTATACCATCACCGCCAGCGGTATTATTCAACACAGGCTCAGGACAATTGCCAGCACAAGCGGGTGGTTTATACGGAGCATTTCAATTAGATCAAAGTCGATCACCGTTTACGCAGTACGCGCCATACGCTCCATCCCTTCAGAGCTCATTCAGCCAACAAAATGTGTATTTACAGCAACCACCACCGCCACCACCTCATGCGCCAAATGCTCCTACGCCAGAGATGTATCAAAACAATTTGTCCCAATACCGTCTTGTACGTAAATTTTAGTTGCTTTTTAATGCCTCTTACATAACGATATAAATCTCGAAACTATTTACAGTATATTGCAATGTAACAGTAATGTATGTTATTATTCTACACTAATACAGATATTTACAATGGGAATAGTTTAATTTTTAATTTCTTTCAATAGACCGCGGCAGCTGCTCCACCATTTGGACAGAATCAGCAACTCAGTAATAATCCCAATACGGTACTCATTAGTTCGTCATCAAATTCTCTAATGTCGGCGAGCGTCAAACCGTCATCTCAACCTATTGGAGCAATTGGAACTAAAGCTCCGCATTTCCAGACCCCGTCTGCTCCTCAACCCAATCAAGTATGATTTTATGTTATAAGTATTTTGATACTTATAAATCCAATAATTTATTGATTAAACCTTTTTTTAGTTGGCTTATATTCCATATGATCCAAATCAAGTGCTCGGCGTAAGTGGTAGTTACATGAGCAATTCGCAATTAGTGCAAAGACCTGGTCCAAATGTACAAGCATCTAACAGTTACTACAGTGCTACATCTGCCGGTAAATTTGATATATTGTATTATACAAGTATTATACAAGTCAATTTATAATACTATATTAAAAACACAGGCACACATTTTTTTAATTAATCTAATTTGTACTAATTATTATTAAAAATATATCTTACATAAAAAGAATCAATGTATAGTGGTATATGTGCATTTATGAGGTATTCTCAACATATTTTAATATATTTTCAGATGTGTTTCCTGGATCACAAACAGGCTTTTATCAATCTGGTGGTGCTACTCAACAAACTGGAACTCATTATGGTTTGCAAGGATTTAGTCAGCATAGCCAAAGTTTAGCAACAGGTAGTGCAACTCCTGTTGGTCTACAGAACTATGGCCCTAGTTTCTTATCTAGTTCAGGATTGCAAATAGCTGCGGCAGCTCAACAATTTCGCAATCCTACTGGTGGTTTACCAGGAAATGCAGCACCCACGTTTCTTAGTAAGCACCAACCACAGGAGCAACCCAGACAGTTAAAGAGCCCATCGGGAAATCAACAGGATGTGCTTGCATCAGTTTTTAGCTCAAGTAAGCTTGTTTTCAGTTTAAAAAATAATTGAAACAAATAAATAATTTGAACCGTGAAAAGCTTTATCTAAATTATGTGAATTATGATTTCTTTACAAATTTTATTATACAAAAATAGTTCATTAGTTTTATATCATTTATTAAATTACATTAATTTAATATTATAATTATAGCTTCCCAAATACCATCGCCTAAATCAAGAAATTGCAAACAACAATCTTCGTCGCAGCAACCACAGCCAAGTCCTACACAACATCATAAATATCAACAATATCAGGGCGTTAGTCAGTCTGCTCTGGTAAGCAGCTACAATAACTACGTATGTACCATTTATTCATTGAAGTTATCTCATTTAAATATTATGCATGTATTTTATCAAATTGAAAGCATACATAAAATTCTTATAATAGTTATATGTCAATACTATAAGAAAATCTAAATGATAAAAAAAAATGTTATATGATATATAACTTGTTAAAGATTTATTTCACTTAAAATAAATTAAGGAGATTTATCTAGATTTATCTTTCAAATTGAGATATAATTAAATATCTTATCTATATTCTTTTTTGTATGTGCAATTTTATACTAAACTGTATTAAAAAATATCTATTTTGATGTAAATTTATTTTCTTCTCTAAGGAATAAATAATAAATTAGACAAAAATATTATGCATCTTTTAATATCTCTGAAGAATAGCGTCTAATAGCTTTAGAAAGAAATAATTTTGTGCATTATAAATACGTGCATTGTAAAGTACCATTGAAAAAATAGAACAATATGATTGCAATACATATAATTAAGAATCTTTCTTTTGCTTTAGATAACATATACAAATTTTTATTATTAATAAAATTTATAATATACAATTAAAATGTAAAGGATACAAATTGATTATTTTCATCTAATTTACATGTAGATGAACAATAAAACAGTATAACTCTGTGTATTAATCTACAGGTTTTACAACAGAATGTACGTGGAATGGGTATGCCGCCTCGTGCTGGTATCCAACCGTCGCAACAGCGTTATCCACCTCCGATACAACGACCTCCAGTAGCGTTTGCACCCGGTCCAAACCCAAATAATCCTACGCAGCAGCAGCCTGCTTGTATGCCAACACAGCAGCAACAACAAGCTCAAATTAACCGTCACAGACCGAATTTACATCAGCAACAACAGCAGCAGCGTAACATGAAGATGCAGCAACAATATTATTCACCACAAGGTTTGTAAAATATTTATATGTTATATATGAGCAATTTATATGAGATTAAAATATAATTAATAACTATATCTGCTTTTCCTAGGAAACGTTAAAATGGATTCCAATGACAAATCTGACAACCACAATGACAAGATGAATGATGGTCCTTCTGGAACACAACCTGGGAGTAACAAACCCAATGTGAATCAACAAGATAGTGATAATAATAAGGAAGAAGTGAATCAACAAAACGAGTGAACGTGAATATTCGTGAGGGTGAACATACTTGCTCTTCCATTTTGTGGAAAACATCTTTCTTTAATTAAACCTTTGATATATCTCGTCGAAAAATAAGGGCAAAGACTAACGTGCTTTTCTATTTCTCACGGAAGAAAGCACGCCAGTGTCACAACAGAATTCGTTTATCTACGAAATCGTGCTTATATAATCGACTAGCAGTTAAATAGAGTAATTAAAAATCTGAGTTTTTCATGCTGTACCGAAAGAAAGAACTTCTAGAAAGGTAACATTGTCTGTACACACCTTTCCCGTTCTTTAGTTCTAACAGCATAAACTAACCGTCTTTGTGCAAGTCGAAAAGACGTTTATTAAGCATTTCCATTATTAAGTAATATCGAATATACATGAACATATTTAAGAATGGCGACAAGTTAATCAGCGCTGATTGATACTGTTATAAAAAGCTTGAAAAAAGTGACACATTTAAATTGTCGTGTAATGTTTAAATACTTGACTCAAGAAAAAATATGTGCCGTCGTTGAGTGGAATGTTAATCGAATTTAAATGCGAGCTGTTTAATGAAATGTTCTGTATCGTTAAGGAGTCATGTTCGTGAGGTTGTATCTGTGGGAAGTGAGACAAAGAAATCTACACGAACTTTATATATATACATTCATATATATGTATATCTCTCTGTACCCAGATCAGGATCAGCCTGCGGTAAACGATACTGCATGTCCTAGGACGCACGATGCACGTTTTCTTGATCACATCATGAAAGTCGAAAAGCGAGAAGAAGAGAGCGCAACCAAGAAAAGTTACAATTATTGCAATTTCGTATGTAGCACGTTCGAAAGGACTGAAACAAGCTGCGGTATAAAGTCGTCCGTTTATCCAAACAATAAGAAGCGGAATCACTTACCGATTAGGATGATATCTATGAGTCTGGTCTAAACATGACTATGTCGCCCATATGTATTGCGACAACGAGAAGCTCCATGTATATTGGTCATTTTGTCGATGACGCGAGGTCATGGTGAAACTTCGCGCGACGGAAATAGGAAACTGTTGTTTATAGGTATCGCGTAAATCATCATGATCTAGCTTCATTCGCGATGAGTTTCAATCATTAGGTATATAAGGTATTGCTTGTGAAGCGTGAAAAGTCATATCGAGCCTTTTCACGCTTAGAAAGATTATGTTGGATCAATCGAACCGCAATCTAAACTACTACTATCGCAACGTACGAAAAGGATTGTATATTCTCTGCTTTCGTTGCAGTTAAAGCTTTGTTATAAAGATAAAGCCCAATGAAAATAAATAGTAGTATTCACAGGAGTCTACCGTTGCCAGATTTATTCAGCAAAAATGTGGCTATGCCCATTATGCCTTGATTTTACGAACAAAGTCTAGGCACTGTTGATATACGATGTTAACTTTCAAAAAAAGCACGATATACTGCCAGTCGTACCGACGACCACTGTCTTTGAACTCTGAGAATTTTTCATGTCGTATTCGTGATGTCCATGTGAATAGTGAAGGAACATATATTAAAGAGGAAGAAACACTCTTAACATAGGCTTGTTAAAAATTTAACACTTCAATGAATTTAGAGAATATCGATTAGAGAGAGGATAAAGATTGCGATTACTCCCTTTCACCCTAAATATCTTTTCTCTGAAATATTAAGAACTTGAGAAAAGTTATTAAGAAACGAGTATAATGTAAATCGATATAATGGCGATACCACAGATTGCTTGAATTAGACATGAGGTTACAATTCCTTTCATGTTATAAAGAATTGAATCCTTGATCAAGTAGAGCGGGCAATGTAAACAATATTAAAAAAAAAGAAGGGAAGGGTGAAACTTCCTAGTGAAGTCTCAAAGAACCAGTAAATGCTTCTCATTTATGTTACTGCTTAATTCTCCAGTATTTGTATGGCATGTTATTGCAATGTATTCTTACTTATTATTTTTGTTGGCCAATGTGACCAATTAAACATTTATGTGTTTTTATGTAAATACATTGAAATTTTGCCGGTACAAACTTCTAATGTGTTTATATTATTAAAAGCACATTATAACATTAATGTTATAATAGATTGACCGGCTGTAGTAGTGCTGTATACGAATACTGAAGAATCGAGTTCTATCGTAAGCATCATTATCACGATGGCTATTACCACTTCGATCATTAGCATCATCAGCAGCAGGATCATTATTGTCAGCAGCATTGTAACAGTAGTGTAGGAGTAGAAGTAGCAGTGGTAATAGTTGGTGTTTGCAGTAAGCGCGATTGTAATAATGATAATTTTAATAATAGCTCTAATAATAATACTAATAATAAATTGCGATAATAGTAACAACAGTAATAACAGCAGTCGCAGTAATAATACTACAACGCTTTTTTATTTTTTATTTTGATAGAATTTTTTATGATTTTTATTATGTTCCTTTATCAGTATTCACCTTCTTTTTATGTAATATATTTTTATAATCTAAAAGAACAGATATCATTTTAACTATTACCATTGCTTTTACAACTTGCCACTGTTATTGCTATTATATAATTGTCTCAATTTATATTACTACTTATACTATTATTGTCGCTATTATCTTTTGTTGTACTATTATTATTGTTACATTACTCTTATCGTTACTACTTATTAATATATCTGTTATTATTATTATCACTATTACTATTGCTCTTGTTAGTACTATCACTTATTATTACTACGATTATTATTACATTTACAATTATTAATTGTATTATTAACTGTATACTATTAATATTACTATCACCTGCTACTACTACTGCTGCTGCTGCAATTACTACTATTACTGTTAGTACAATTGCTATTATTATTATTTTATATTATTTTAATTATTATTATTATTATTGCACGTGTACACTTGGTGGATAATGAAGGTGAGAGGAATAAGCTAAAAAGAGTAAGTAGATGGAAGAAGTTCGTTCAAATGTATGGATATGTCTCATAGGATATTCTCGATGAATTTTATTAAAAATATTAAAATTTGTTTAACGATTTCTATTATAGCTTAAATGCGAAGTGGATTTTGTTTATATCACAACATATAAATTCGAGCTGGTCTGTCGTATTACAACAAGTAGTCGTCTTACAATGATGCTAAAATACCTTTAATATTTTTTATCTACATATAAGGCCATATATTTTAATATATAAGGATGCGAGATTTTATTTATTTAGAGTGTCATTTTTGTCGGACTCATCGTATCTTTATATCGCTTTTCAGTGAGTGGAAAAAGTCAACAAATGATCTTCGTATATGATTGTTATTATTGATGGCAATATGTGAATTGTTGATATTTTTATTGTAAAGATAAAGTTTGCTATGTTTCTGATATTTAAGGTTTTAAGTATTAACGCATTGAAAGTAATACGACAGACCCGTTTACCCGTCGCAGGGCGCCTGTAATTATTATCTGTAGTTAGAAATATGACGAATATTACTTATACACCTACGAGCTAAAACGTGAAAATAAAATAGTAAACGGCAATTTGCTACTATTAATTTATACAGTTAATTAATACAACCCAACAGATAACTGTATAGACGAGGAAATTGAAAAAAGATATTTAATAATAAAAGGTATTGCAAAAGAGACGACAATGATTGAGGTAATATTTTTGTTTTATATATATACTTGTATATATATGAAGTGACAAGTATAATTTTCGTAGAAAGCCGAATCCAATCTGATTAATTGAATTAATTACAATTGATCTGATTTTAAGATATTTTCTTTTTGATAATTAAAAGATTTATGCAATTGCAATTTATGTGTTAATATTAATAAAAATAATTAATAACAAAATTAGACGACAGACATGGAAGGAAGATGCATCTCGAGTGGAGAAGACTTCGTATTCTTATATTAAAAGAATGACAATTGATTCAGTTACAGAAAACGTATTGATCTTGTGTTGATTAATATTTTATAATTAAACGATGCAATGTATTGCGATAATTGCAATTATTCATTCGGCATGCCAATCTCTTAATGCGACTACTTTATTCGTACGTTTTACAATGGCGATTTGATAAAAATTCGCGTAAAATTAAGTGTGTGTATATGTCAGTGTACTGTGCCGCTTTCATTCTCTCCTTATCATAGTTCATTGTTTTTTCATTGCAATTTTCACTGTTGGTATAGTAGCTTAACGAATGAGTTAACAATTAAATATTTCGCATAAAGGGATAATCGATTTTTTCAGCGTGTGGTAGAAGTTCAAAATCACGGAGGACGCATCATCTTGGAAAAATGCAAATCAAAGGAAAAGAGTTCCAAATAATCTTCAATTAAACATGGATGTGTCGTTGATAATGCAAATAGAGATTTTATTTAAAATATATATTTAATATTATATATTTAAATAAAATAATATTTTTTTCTTTTGAGACAAGTAAACAGACTCGGGGAACGTAAATTTTATTGGGCAACACTATAAATTTGCTCATTTTTATAATTTTTACCAAGTTTTAAAGTATACAAATTAATTCCGAGATTCGAGATAGTAATCGATTGATCGCAGTAATTCCTTCGACTTAACCTAATGAAAGTGACACACTTGGCGCTTAGCACATAAGAGAGAACTGTGGGAAGAGAGAAAATAATATTTAATTCTGTGAAGAAGATTATCTAAATTAGAAAATATAAAAGTGATACAAGAATAATGGAATAATTTCTAGATGTTATATAACCTCAAAAAAGGATTGAAGGCGCATACAAAATTTACTTAAAAAAAAGGACGTCTTGATGTAAACGTAAGCTCGATGTCATCAGAGTCCAATTGGAATATTGGAATTTACCAAGTGGCGATTGGTGGCGATTTTATCATTCGCAGAATCGCACAGAGATTGTAAACTAAATGGAACTCGTAGCTCCTAGCCTCGTGTTCTCAATGTTCTCTGAATCGGGCGATTCGTTTCCGCATTCGATGTAGCTGACAGCTGTCGTGTCAGTATATATACGTCGATCGACTAATGGGGAACGAAAAGAGTGCTCTTCGCGGTCTTGAAATCGAAGACAAGGCCATTGAGGTGACGGACTACTGGATGCATTACGATGCTTACGTGCACGACTCAAGCCTGCAGAGACTCTCCATCTTCATCAGCGAACCATCCTTACACTTCGCAGCAACGTTTGGGAGACCGTCACCATTGGAGCGAGCGGCAAAGGTTGACATTTATTCTGATCTTTTCATTTTTAAATATTCCTTTAAGGCATATAAGATGTTTTCCAAAGGATATAGTTGACACAGAATGTTTTTCAGCAAGAATACAGTGTGACACAGTGAATCATTACATCCTTGTTTGTTAATATTGGGAAAGATAAAATGATTCATTGTATAGGTATTTTCCAGTAAGACAGATAACACAGTGTAACACAGTGAATTATATTCTTTAACATTGGCAAATAATAAAGTTGTAATAATTTGTGTTATACTGTTACTTTTACTGGAAAATACCTATAAGTCAAGGATGCTTTTCATTTGATGATATTACTCGACATAGAGTGCTTTCCAGCAAAAGACACAGATGACACAGTGTAACAAATCTTTATTGTTTGTTAATGTTTTGAAATGAGGCTGAAATGATTTACTATATTACACTGTGTCTTACTGAAAAACATTTATAAAATATTTTTTTGAACTATTCAATGGGACAGTAACAGCAGAAGCTTTTTAACAGGAAACACATATCAATACAGAAGTCCTTCTGTTTTTACTCAATATTCAAGAAGAGAAAAAGACAGAATGACTTTTTTGTTTATTTGTATTTCTTGCTGGAAAGCTCTCTTTATCTTGACAAGCCTCAAAATGAGAACACTTTGAAATTATGATTTTTTTTATACTATTCCTTTGTATACTATATTATGGATTATATAACATATACATGTACAGTGAAAATAAAATCATAAGAAATAAGTGAATTTAATGTATGTTTTAGAATTTTATGTTACATCGGCATCCCTGTATCTTGAAATATATTTCTTCCTGGAGCAAAGGTAGCAAATTCTTTCTCGCTACGGAAGAGGCTAGGCCATTGGTCCAAGTAATCGAAAAGCAGAATATACTGCAAATATGTATTGGTTTGCACAGTATCCTACGAGCCTTAATATTCCTGCATGAGACCGCACTGGCGTCACATAATAATGTGTGCAGTAGTTCTATTTACGTCACTTCAGAGGGATATTGGAAATTGGGTGGATTGGAATGCTTGTGTAAATTCGCAGATGCATCACCAACGTATTATCAACGAATAAAGAATTATAGATACGAGAAAGCGATATCGTCGAATGAAGATATAGCTGATTTAGTTAAAACTGCTAATCTCACTGCAATTGATTCGTACGCATTTGGAGTATTAGCAGAAGACATTTTGAAAAATTTAAAAGATACAGGTATATAAAATTCAAAAGTCATATCATAAATGTTATCTTTGTTAAAATGTGTGCTAAAATGTATTAAATTTCAACTGATTTCAGATGAAGCACCAAATTTGCTGGAATTTAATGAATTTTGTAAAAAGAATCTGCAAAATTCAGATGCATATTTGAGAAATAGATTATTGAACGTACTGCAGCATTCATTTTTCACTCACGAATTTATAAGGATACATGCATTTTTGGAGGAATTACCATTAAAAACTGATGTTGAAAGGGAAGAATTTTTCACGTAAGAATCTTCAGAGAAAATATGTTAATTTATTATATACATAATATGTACCATAAAAATCATATATAGAAAATTTGTAATTTTTTAGGAAATTAAGACAACAACTACAGATGTATCCCGAGGCTGTTGTTGCTGAGCAACTAGGCAGAGTGCTTCTTTCCAGGATAGTTTTGTTGGATAGCACTGCCCAAGTAAAGCTTTTACCTTTTATCTTTAAACCCAAAGGTTAGGATATATCTGTCGCATCTAACATGATCAGTTATCTTTACTATAAAATTATTTGATACATATTAAAATCTTTATTTCACGTAATAATAATCTAATAAAATGCTTAATATTTCTTACAGATGAGAAAAACGATTTGGGGACTAGTCTATTTACAATTCCTACTTTTAAGATTATCTTAGTACCAAGACTTCTACAAATGTTTTGTATTCGAGATGTTTCTATTCGTCTGCTGCTGCTGTCCCATTTCAGTTCGTTCGTTCACATATTTGAAGCGGACGAATTGAAAAATCACATTCTTCCCGAATTACTCGTTGGAATAAAAGACACCAACGACGATCTCGTCTGCGCTACGTTAAGGGCATTGGCTGACATAGTGCCAATTTTGGGCGCGGCAGCAGTTATCGGTGGAAACCGGGGGAAATTATTTACGGATGGTCGGCCGAATAAGAAAATGATTCGCAACAAAAATCTCGATGATATTAGGAAAGCTTTAACGTTCACTCAAGATATGCCCGTCTTCGTGAATGTAGACGAGAACAATGTTCATTTAGCGGAAAGACCATCACCAGATGGTGGTGAGGATAAGAAGGAGAAGGAATTTTCATTTGCCGAGGAGGAATACACCTGGTCGGATTGGGAAACACAAGAACCAGTTGGGAATGATCATTGTGATGTAGAAGAAGCTCTCTCCAACAATGTGCAAGCGGAAATTCAAGGTTCTTGCGATACGGACTCATCCTCGCCCTTGTCTGACTTACCGTCGAGCTCTGAGAAGTCAAAGTATACAAAGAAACTAGTACTTAACGATATTACTGAGCTCGATATAAAGAATTCGAAGGTAATAAAATCTTCGAAGGAAGAATTCGACTTTTTCACCGATATGGAGCCTGTGATACAGAAGACGCAGATCTTACACGTCCCGGAAGTGCAATCGCCGAAGAGCATGTTCGACGTGAAGACGTCGGGTGCCACTTTGGAAGAACATGACGTTAATGGTTGGGGAGAAGACTTGAGTGACTTGAGTATAGATGATACATATGAACTGGCGAAACAGTGAGCGCGATAAAAAGAAAAACTATTTGAATAAAAAAGCAAACGAGCTTGTACGACAAATGATATTCTCCTAATTGTATCCATTCTTATTAACGTCCAATATATGTGATTACAATACCATTATCCAAATAAGTATTTTTAATAAATATAAAATATATGAGATAGGCTAAAAATATACAATATATTTTTCGTGTAAGTTTTTTTTATTAAGTCATACAGAAATATTGTTTAGGGTATGCACATTTATCGAACAGACGTTCCACTGATTGATTCTATGAGAATATTTGTCGCAATTGTGGGTCTTTTTATGTAATTAATAGATACATATTGAAGAGTGTGTTTTATGCTTATTTCTGTCAATAGAAATTAACTTTAATTTCACTTTAATTTACTTTTTCTTTCTCTAGTTCTAGAAAATTAAAAAAAGATAAAATATGAATTAAAGTTAATTTACATTCGTAGAAATTATTAGGTATAGACTAGAACAGTAATTTACAATAAAAAAAAAAGCCATTAGTAGTAGTAAATCGGAAGTTAGAAGCTAGAAATTGATCAACCAAGATCGAATGTAAAAAGAATAATTAATCACCTATGGTTGATCAATTTCTAGCTTCTAATTTTTGATTTATTACTTTAATGATTTATTGTAAAAAGTTTTTTTAAAGAAAGCAGTTGTGACCTGTTAAGAATATCATGTTTATAACATACTCTTTTATATGCTTAAATCAATAGTAAGATCACGTAACTGACAATTCACCAATGACAATTCAGTGACTGAAATGTCATTGGTGAATTGTCAGTCACGTGATCTTTTTTCGCTTAATGAATGATAGCGATGAACGATATATGAAAAGGTACCTTTATACTCCGGAGTCGGACTTAGAATTTTGAAGTCCACCTATCCACCATGGACTGTTCGGATTTATTCAAATCGTTGATCGTTCACGATTAGACCCATTAGAGGGTTAGAGTGATTTCAGTCGTAGCTAGGAGGAATCTGCATAATGCGGGATGACGACGCAGATCGGGTGCTGGACGCGGAGCAGTGGCGGCTGGAAGCCCAGGCGGTAATCAATGACGTGAAAAAGCACGTGCAGGACCTAAGGGTGTCTGAACGGCTGACCAGCACAAACCAGATGATCTATTTGAACCTGATCACGCTGGAGGGTCTGCGGTTTTGCGTGGAACTATCGGCTGCCGGCTTCGCCATCATCGGCAATCGGCACGACGACACGTCGAACGCGAGAAACGAGCGTTTCGAGACACCGTACGGCCTCCTGAATTTCGTCAGTCCGCAGTACAGGAATTCCTTCGGGAACGCACTATTAGATAAACTGAAGGAATTGGGCAATAATCAATAGATCTCGAGAGATAACAGAAAAATAACAACATTATTGTTTTTAGATTGTTGTTAGGTTAAGAGTTAAGTTAGGTTAAGTGCGTTTGATCCTCCCAGTGAGTTCTATAATGTATTAGAGCACATTTCTTAATTTTTTTTCTTACGTCCAGAATTTTGGGTGCGTTTTTTCTATATTAAATTATAGAAAACTGTAGCTCGATAATTGAGAAGGAAGGCAAACAAATACTTGTCTTTTTTACTCTTTCCTGCAAACAGTATTAGTCAATCAACAATCTCTGACAAAGAAAACAGTGTAATCTTTTATTATCAGAGTGTCATTGTTTAGGAAATTGGGACACCCACACTCCTCAATGGTATGCTCTAATATATTATAGAATTCATTGAATCCTCCAGAGCTAATTAGAAATCTCTTTGTTAAAAATGTCAAATAATTGAATTTTCTTGATGTCACATCTGCAAATTTGTAATATTCGTATTAAAGTTTATTTATTTAATATTCATTCTTTTTATGTAATTTTTAATCCTTTGAAATTAATTAGTGTCTTATGTAATTAAGGACCTCTTTCACTATCTTCAGTTAATTTATGCATTTTTATCAATGTAGATTAACTTCAATTTCGGTTCAATTTGCTTTTTTCATCTTTTTTTAATTCTTAGAACATAAAAAAAACAGAATTATAGCGACAGTTGTTTCACTCCTATTTTTAGATGTAGAATCTCGTTCTGTAAGAGATTCTATATTATGAAATGACAGAAGATTTATATTTTATTCTTGCACTATACTTGAATTCTTCTTCGTTTTCTTCAAATTTCAAACATATCTATTTCACTTTAAGTACAAAAAGTGTATATACTTAATTCAGCTATAAAAAACAGACCTATATATTTATAAAAAGAAAATGAGACTGGAGTTTTTGAAATGAAATTACAATGTTTGATTCACTGGAAAATTTGACTTTGCCACCTTTATCCAAACTTCAGAAATAACTCCTGGAACTTTATTTAGAGTTTTAATCTCTTCGCCCATTACGTTTTTTCCAATTTCATTTTCTTTTATTATGAATCAATTTATTATGATAAATTTATTATAAATTAATTTTATTAAAGTCAAGCTTTCAGTTGCGTATCACAGATTATAAAGTTTTTGCTTCATTCACATATTTATTCCAAATGTATATTTCCATGGTTTATTCTTAAATTTTACATTTTTTAATTATTTCTAGCAAATATATTTGCCGTATCCTTGCATTTTTATTCCGCATTCACAAGAATCTAAAAAGCTGCAAATACTTTCAGGACTGAATTTAAAGTCTTTAAATTTTTCGCGACGACGTTGATTCATCGTTCCCGAGTAGGACGTTCTCTTATCGACGTCTTCCGTGAAATGATTTTCTAACGCTTTCGATCTACTCAATGACTTCACAGACGCAAAATGACGTATACATCTTATCATATTGTGCGTTGTTCCAGCACAACTGCGACGCAACAGCTTTATTAATTAATTAAATTATTCTCGTGGGCGATGAGGAATTTTATTGAGAATTAAGCTAGAACAATTATGAAGCAATTCGATCGACTAATGCAAAAATATCAGCTGTAATAGTGAAAGATAAATGTTAAAATTTTGCATTCGAACGTTTGTATTTCAAATAGGTCGCGATCGTGTCAAGTTTATCGTTTGCATTTACAAGCAACTCTGTAATTCAAATTTCGCTTTCAACTCGTTCCACATTCGGCACTTTAGACGGTTTATTTTACAGGATTGAAGGATCGACACATAGTTACTTGAAACTATTTTTGAAAGTATTGAGAATACCGTACTGATGTCTAAATACGAATTTAATTCATGCGAAGATTTAGGTGAGCGTTTCAATAACTTCTGTGAAACAGGACTTTATTCTTGAAATTCTGTGTAAAGCTAATAATAATGATGACTTGTTGTCATCATTATTATTGTTTTTTTAGTAGTAAAAGACACACTTAAAAAAAAAATTATTTATTTGACGTACTAAATTAATTTAGTTGTCTTTCTTTTGTTGGAGAATGTTTGTATTTAAGTCAAACATAATTTAATAATTTTGTCAAATGAATAATATTTTTCTCAGTGCAGTATAACACAATAACCATTTCATCATTGTTTAATCGACAAACAAGGATGTAATCGTTCATTGTCTTTTGTTAGAAAAACAGTCTATTTTTCGTTCAAATTGTTATTCTTTTCTTTTTCTTTTTTTCCTCCTAATGGATTTCCCAACTCATAAAGGCGAAGTTTCATGAAATTCAAATTATTTGGATGTAGCTGATATTAAAGGACTAATCGATGTTTTGTCTCGAAACTGATCATCGCTCGAATGTCCATTCTTTGTAGTTATGTATCATCTGAAATTTGTTTAAAGTGAAGTGAGATTATTTTTCTTTTAAGAAACACAATCGACACAAACGTCGTTCTGTTTTTCTTAGTATTCGATGAATAAACGAAGATAACACGGCATTATGTTTCCTAAAGAGAAAGTAGCTAAATATATATATAATTAGATCTAATAATAAGTAAAATGTGTGTGTGTGTGTGTATCTAACATTATCTATTTTGTTTTATTTTATTTCAATATAATTATATATCGGATATATATATATATATAGAAGGAAAGGAAAAAAGGAAAGATACTATGAGAAAAGAAAGAAACTCTGACTTCATTCTTCCTTTAATATCCATGAAGCATGTTTAGGCCGGAATCAGACTACGCATTGAAGATTGAGATTAAAAATTAAAAATTGAAATTTGACCAACGAGGACAAAGAAATTTTGGTTCCTTTTATTCTGATTGGTCAAACTTCAATCTTTCAATCTCATTCTTCTGCGGGTTTTGGAGATTGAGAATTGCGAATTGGAGATTAGAATTTAATCAAACGATTTGATTAAATTCGAAGGATACAGATAAAACTAAACTTATCTGATTGTCAAATTCTAATCTTCAATTCGCAATCTTCAATCTTCAATGCGCCTTCAGCAAATACAAACGTAATTCGATACATGAGTATATTTTAAAAAGAAAAGAACTTTCTCTTGTTGTCTATAAAACTCATTGAAAAATGAGTGTCAATTGCCGCGGAATGCTGTCCTCGCGTTATGTCATTTCATGCTTTTCTCCTGGTGAAAATTTTAATTTTTCTGAAGTTTTATATAAATTTCAGAATTTTTCAGAATATCTGAATTTTTTGTGACTTTTTAATTTTTTTTTTTATACAAGTTGAAACACTTCAAAAGAGTCAAAAAAGTCTATACACACTTTTCTTTTTAGAATTCTTTACATATGTGAATTCTAAAATATTCTAAGATTTTTAAAATTTCTCATATTAGAATTGTTGATGAAATCTTACAACATTGCGTGTCTCCGTTTCCATTCCGATTCTTTTACACTTCATTTCTGGGCTCTGTTAGGTCGGAATCAGACTACGCATTGAAGAATAAGATTGAAGATTGAAAGATTGAAGTTTGAATCAGAACAAAAGGAGCCAAAATTTCTTTGTCCTCATTGGAAATTTCAATCTTTAATCTTTAATCTCAATCTTCAATGCATAATCTGATTCCGTCCTAACAGCAACTTCGTTAGTGCTTCACTTTATTTTATGTATTCTGTACACAAGTGCGCAATAAAATTAAAAAAATAAATTAAAAATATTAGAATATTTTAGAATTTATATATATATATGAAAAATTCTAAGAAAAGACGTATATTTCTAAATATCTCTAAAAAATGTTCCTTCAAGAATTTTTATACGAATTGAAACATGTTTTAAAGATACTGAAATATTATATATATTTTGAAATATTTTAAGATTTTTAATTTATTTTATTTTTTATTTTATTACACACTTGTATACAGAATACATAAAATAATAATATATATAAAAATTTTAAGAATTTTTTCAATATAAAAGATTCAGCTATGAGAGAAACGAATCTCGAGGCATCGAGTCGCCTGGTGCCGTCCCTGCCATTAATACACTCGTCTCGAATCTCGATTGCGCGCGGGGCCACCTTCCGCGAATCGACGGGAGTACTCTCGCGGGACTCTCGCCGCTCTCGCGTGATATTTCTTCACGATGGCATGCGAGAGATCAGTCAGCGTGCGATGACACGCCCGTGTCGTCTCGCAATAAGCATATAGTGACAAAGCTAGTCTCGCAGTGCGGAATTGTACTCGTTGTGCTTTTGTCCCGTCTTGTCGCGTACGTACGTATGTACGCGAGGACACGACCAGACACGCAAGTTCCCGACAAAGAAAAGGACGGACGAACGGAGTGAATCAAGGAGTAAACGAAGTCGATGCGCCGCGGGGTGCGGATCAGCGTGGCTCGCGCATTCGTGCCTTCGTGAGTCCGACGTTGCCTAGGACACCTTGGACACCGTGGGATATTGCGCGGCGAACGAGGTGAGAGCGACGACGATGCGACATGACACGACATGATACGATTTCGCGAGTGTGCATGAGAGAAAGAGTGAGTGAGCGAGCTGTGTCGAGAAAGTATGTCTGACTCATGGAGAGTCATCGGGAGAAGAAGACTCGCGGGAGGGTCAGAGTGATCCGTGAGATACGATTTGACGCATCGGCACTCGCGTTATTTCATTTCCTGACCGAGGAAGACGTCCATGAACGAGGATAAGGCGTACACTTCCACGCCGTATCGTGACGTTGGCCGACGCTCGTGCGATACCGCGATACGCGGCGCACTTCACGCTGATTGCGCTCGTCCGATTTTCTGTTTACGTTCCACGACGAGCAGCGATGAGAGATCAGGCGAGGCGGATCGAGAATCCGGAGGAATTCGCAGCGTGAGAAATGCGCGTGTTTACTCTCCCTCACGGAATCATCTGTGCCTCCTAAAGCGCTGGACTGCGTATTTTTGAGCCGGTTGCGGCAACGCCGTCTTGGCGCCGTGCGCTCTGCCAAGATTTAATTCTGCTGTCAGCACCTGTGAGCCAGAGTTATGACACGAATAACCCTGTACCGCGAAGAACAGTTAATTGGGACTAATTAGCGCGTGCTACTCGACCATTCTTTCATTTCTTCATTCTGATTCAGGCGAATGCGAATCACGTCACAATTGGACCGTTCGTCAGTTAATTTTTTCATCGCGGCATCGACACGAATAATCTTAACCAGTGCTGTTTTTCATAAGTGAAATTATATATATCATGAAATTATATGATATCATTCACTTAGGCCCGATTCCACAAATGTAAGATTAACTCGTTATCTATTTGCAATTTCAGAATTTGAAAAGAATGAACAGTAAGTTGAACCGAGATTAAAGTTAATCTTACATTTGTGAAACCAGATCTTAATTATATCAGTGTCTTAATTACAGATTGTAATTTGCTTTTTGTGTACTGACAGAGGAAAATTTATTTAACGCGAGTCAACTTTTTCCTTTTTACAGGAAATGATTTGTAATATAAAGGTGGAACCTAATAGATTCAACGTTGGCGCCATCGACGCTGCGAGAACGCGCTATTAATACGGTCCTGTGTGTTTTTCATCGATATTGTCCGTTGCCGCACGCTACTCCGTCGCATTGTCGCATAACAGGTTGATCGCGCACGAGCGAAATCACACTCTGTGCCTGAACGTGGCTAGGAGCGAAGTCCAGAGACTGGACCTTCCACTTCTCCTGGAGTAGCTCGAGGACACGGCGGTGACGACGCACAAACCGTCCGTGACAGACTGTGACAGCGCGGTGTTATCTCCGCCCTGCGTCCCGTCATCGCGGGACTGTCGTGTGCGTGGCATTTTGTGAACTTGTGCCGAGCCACCCAGATGCCGTCTAAAGATCACCGCCGAGACTTTCGCCAGCCACGTGATCGGCAAGTTTGATTTTATCTATATTTATGTCAATGTGCTGGCCAAACTGAATTCTTCGTCATTCATGAATTGGCAGAACTAATGATCGCTCTGAAAAACTGGTTTCTCTCGTCTTCCTCATTCCTAATTTTGTTTGCTAATTAGATTTTTGCATATATTAAATGCAGAAGAATATTCGGTTTCGATTTCGTCTTTTTTAGAGACCTTATGACGACCAATTTTGTTAAAACAAAAGTGAGAAAGAAAAGAGTATATACCATTTCTTCATATATCTCTCTAATTTATATTTATTTATCTTATTCATTCTGATATCTTACTGAAGTTGCAAAAACAGGCCAATCAGAAATTTATCATCTCGTGGTCAGACTCTGTTATAGAATCTCTGATCTTTTTCATACTTAGTATATTCCTATTTTGATATTTATATCTTAAATAACTAAATGTTAACCAGAATATGAATGAGGTGGATATAGAATTTTAAAAGAACTATATTCGGACTATGATCCTCACTAATATGGCATTCTTACAAATCGGCATTGGTAGTTATGATAATAGCAATGATTCATCAGTTAATATGATCAAATTAAAGGCAGTGATACGACGTAGAACTAAGAGAAAAGTAATGCTTATACAGTACTTTCCACTGTGACTGTGGATAGAGAATAAAAAAACAGTTCTTGACACATAATTTTAATGTTTATAATCATAAAATTTTTAATATAAATATACAACTTATCTATATTAAGTATAAAGCTTTATCTTAATATAATTTAATTAAAACATTTTTTTAAACTTACAGAATTTTTGAGTTTAACGAAGATACAAATAATATTTTTAATGAATTTATTTATGTATTAATAGAAATAATTTTTCTGCAACTGGAACGTGAATATATTTCTCCTTATGTGAAGTATCCTACATTCTAAATTTAGATGCAGTCTCTGTGCTCAATATATATTTAAAGTATAAATTAGATAATGTAACCTCTTAGGGAGAAAATTACTGCCGAAGATAGACCAATTGGGGTCCAACCGTTATGGAGTATTTGTTCTGTAATTTTTTATACTTTATATTTTTTTTATCCTTAGATAATATTTATGATGCATAAATATCGATATTAGAATAAAATTATAAATGAATGCATACTGAGATATATAAGCTTTTGCAATTGAGCTTTCTTGTTGTGTCGCGGTTTATTTTAAGGAAGAATCTATGAATCACAGCAAGATAAAAAATTATCATAAGTCCTATATCATCTACACTCCGTTGATATTAAATTTATCTAATAATATTAAGAGATAATCTCTCCCGTATGAGAGAAATTTTTAATTAATTCTTGATACTAATTATTAGAATTGTATCTTTTGCTTTTTACGGCTTAAAATGATTAAATATTAATTTTTTTTTTATTTTAATAAAAGTAGATTAATAGCAATAGTAACATGGCCATTGTTACTTTATAAAAGATCATACAATATTGTACTATTTTTGTACTTTACATTATTTTTATATCTGTAATTTATGTACATAGGTTCAACCTGAACTTATTGAAACGAAGTAGATAGATGACAACCTTCTTAGAACAAAGGTATGGCAAGCTTGATGGTGAACACCTCTAGTAAAAACAGTTCGCGCAGTGGATCTCCTAGTAGGACAACTTCGACGTCTCAACTGCAGCAACAACAACCGACAGCAAACTTGGATCATACTCCAAGATTGCGTAATGCCCCAATGTAAGATTCTATTAGTATAATAGACATACATACAATTTACTATTATTGCATGTCATTTAGTATTCAATTTTTTGTATGAATCATACAAAATCTATTTACATATGTATATATGTATAATTTACTTATCTGTTAATTTATTTTACTATTATGCTAATTATGATATTCTAAATTTTAAAATTTGTTAAATAAAATTTAATTTTTAAACAGATTAAATCTGTTAAAAAATTAGAGAAATTATAATAATAAATAGATATTTGTTAAATATCTGTTTCAGTTCTCAAGGAGAGGGTAGTACAGGCAGTGGAAGTAGTGGTGGTGGCGGTACCGGAAGTAGCCTCAACATGAAAGGCAGCAACAGACAAAGGTCACCAGGAAATTTAATCCGCACGGGGGATGCCATGGATGAACCAAGTAATACTTCAAACACTGCCGAACCAGACGAGTTTGTGCCAAATGTTCATCCACCGACTGATGACGAAGGAGTATGTATTTCTGATTCATTTTAAATACCTCGAGTCTAATGAGATATAAGATAATAAGTGTTCTGCATCAAAAACAGCAAGATTGTTACTTTACTTAGATCTAATGTGTATATGTAATCTACAGCACGTCTTTGTGCTCTTATATAAAAAGAGTTACATAATATTGCTATTGTGTATACGTTAACTAACATAATAGGCTGCAAAATCATCAATCACTAATATGTAGTCAAAGTTATGAATTTAAAAATAGAATAACTATGCGTATATTTTAAATAATTATATTAGTTTCGTTTATTTTTAGACTCTTTAGTCGATAAATAACTTTAAAGATCTTACAATTCTCTACAAAAAAATAATATTAGGTGTTGGAATTAATTCGTAGCGTTTTTTAATGAAAGAATGTTATTTATTTCACATGAGCATTAAAAAATACATTAATGAAAGTACTTCCCATCACTTGTAAAACGCTACGAATTAATTCCAACACCTAATAATATAAATTGTTTTTTATTTAAAAACAATTAACTGCGTTATTTATTTATTTATTTATTGTTTTTAGTTCTATAGTTAGGATTAACATTATAGTTTTTATGTTTTTTTGTACAATTTTGTTGTCATTTGTTGTATTTTTATAGGAACAATATCACACAACCCAATCGTTCCTATCAAATGGTTCTTCTGAGTTGATAAGCGATGATGTCGACTCTAGTGCAGCACGAGTTCGTCAAGCTATTGAACATATTCAAAGCAAAATTGCTAAAACACGAGAACAGATAAGAATAGAACAAACCACGCGGGATGGTAATATAAAGCTTTTTAAATTTAGTTAATACACACAAAAACAAATGTTGTTATATGTCATTTGCTCTTTAGAAAACGTCAATGAATATTTGAAATTGGCTGCTAATGCAGACAAGCAGCAATTAACTAGGATTAAAACGGTATTCGAAAAGAAGAATCAAAAATCGGCGCACAGTATTTCACAGTTACAAAAAAAGTTAGACAGCTACACAAAAAAATTAAGAAATTATGAAATGAATGGTGCACCGACGAGTCATAGACAACCGAGAGAAATGTTACGCGACATGGGACAAGGACTTAAGTGAGTTATACATAAATGATTTTTTTAATTGTAATTATATCTTAAAAAAATATTTAAACTTATTATTAAATAAGGTCCATATAAATATAGATATATTATATTATTTGATAAGCGTTAAAAGCAATATCTTTGGCTAATTTGGGTTTGTATTCCAGACATGTAGGAGGAAACATTAGGGATGGAATCACTGGTTTTTCAGGGTGAGTGTTCATATAAAAATAGATCCCATGCTCAAATATGCTGAAACTCTATTCTTATGTGGTTGATTCATCACTTCGTTTTAGCATTGCCATTAATATCCTTTCAATTTAAAATTAATATAGGATATATTTCCTTAATTATTTTTACGAGAAATTATTTTTAAAAGTACAGTTAAACAAAACGTTATACGCTTATTTACGTTTAATATTCTATTGCAGAACTGTAATGTCTAAACCAAGAGAGTTTGCTCATCTTATTAAAAATAAATTTGGAAGTGCCGATAATATAAATACTTTATCACGTAAGTAACAGAGTCAATAAATTTCCAGTGAATTTTACGTAATTCAAGTTGAAGACATGTTACCTGGTTAAAACAACAATTTAATTTAAATTGATTCAAATTAATGCAATTTATTTAAATGCAGAAAATAAAGTCGTATAATTCTTATAGTATAATTCAGATAATCTATTCTTGTCATTTCCATTTATTAAAAAATGTGACATATATTTAGATAAGAAAATAAATATCTTTTAACGTTTTTGCTATCATGGCAGTTGAGAGTAGTAAGTAATGTGTTGTCCAAAGAGCGAGAGTTACACTACACTTTATTATATGCTTCATGCACAGTATTCTTTTTTTTGGCTTCAAGCTTCTATCTTCTTTATAAAGAAATGATTAATGATAATACATTATTATTTGTAAAGTGTATAAATATGATTAAAAATTATTTTATATAGTATATATTCTTTGCTTTCAACTGTGCTTATTAAACTTCTATTTTGTTTTTTGATGCAGAACAATTACTCGATATAATTTTACCACACGTTATATTGCATATATTTATTTAACATTATATTATTATGTAGCAAAGTATTAGATGATTTACAATGGCTTCTATAATTACACATTTGCCTTTCTTTATTTACTGTCAGTTATCCAATACTCTCTTGTAATGATGCTAAAATATATAATAACTAATTGTTTTACTACTATGATGATTTAAAAAATGCATTTTATGTTATGAAACGATTGACCTTTTAAAAAATAAAAAAGGTGTAAGACAAATAAAACAGGAACGAGACTTAACTATTGTTTGAGAAAACTAAATAACATATTAACTTTAAAAATAATATTACTTCAAAAGGCCAAGCTTTGGTATTGGATAACATTCTAACTTGCCACCTCTGTGTCTCTACAGATGGCTCGACTTTTTATGTAAACGATACACCGCATGCAGGTAATGGTGATAACGCTAGCGTTGAAGATGATAAAACTCATCATGGATCGGCTACGCTTCCGGGTGGATGCAGTTTGGGATCTACCCAAAGTGCAGCAGCTATGAAGTTTCCGTCTGAGGAAGGATCGGAATGTTCTAGCGTAACTAGTGAAAGCGGCCCTGGTAGTAGAGGACAGCCGCATACATGTCACAGTAATAATGCAGCCTTGAGTCTCAAATCTATTTTTGCAGAACTACAGGAACACCGGGAGAATCTTGATCGAATGAGAGAAAAATTAGATAGTGTAAAGGTTTGTATTTAATTTTATTTAAATATATTCGGTAATTCAAACTAAAATATATTTAAAAAAAAATTACCTTCATACAACTATTTTCACAAATATTTGACTAATCTTTTTTTTTAGACATTACAGCAGGAAGTGACATATCTTTCCCATTCCCTCCAAGAAGAACGTTTTAGGTGCGAACGTTTAGAAGAGCAGATTAATGATTTAACAGAATTGCATCAGAACGAAGTAGAAAACTTAAAGCAAACTATCACAGATATGGAGGAGAAAGTGCAATATCAAAGTGAAGATAGATTACGAGATATACATGAGATGTTAGAGAGTTGTCAAACTAAAATTTGTAAAATGGAACATCAACAACAACAGCATCAACAATATGTGACATTGGAGGGTTTAGATAATAGCAATGCGAGAGCGTTAGTTGTAAAATTGATAAATGTAGTATTGACAGTATTGCAAGTTGTTTTGCTCCTTGTTGCAACGGGTGCTGGTATTATGATGCCTTTTCTCAGAACTAGGTAAGCTTATTATTGAGATATTTTCTGCTCTTTTATTCTTTTGATACCACTTTTTCGTTTTATTTTCCGCGTTCTAGAGATATTAAACAATTAACAATGAACTATTTAGATTTTTATTCTCCATCATTATCTATATTTATTTCTATTAAATCTATAGATTTCTATGCGATGTAAGTAGAAAGTTAAAATGTAATTGTGCATATAATGGATATCGTTTGTATGTATTAGTAAATAATTTATATATTTTTTTTATTCATCTTCATATTATAATCTATCGCAATCACTGCATCTGAATTTATTTTGCACATTTATTATTTTGTTTTGTTTTCGCATTATTTTGTCTGTTACAGCTGTACTAAGCCTCATTGTTTCATGTGCAGGGTGCGTATATTAACGACTACATTCGTTGTACTGGGAATAGTATTTGTGTTAAAGCAATGGCCTGAGGTACATGACGTTGGCAGCCACCTCATGCGCCATCTCAAACAGACGCTCGCCATGAAGTAGTATTGTAAGTGAATGAAATTTTCACTTGGTGCTTAATTGCTGTTAACATGTAGAGGCAATGTAATGTGGTATTATATTTTATAAAAAGTGAATAAAATGAAAGTTCCTAAATAACTCAGAGAAAGAGAGAAGAAGAGAGGAGAGAATGAGAAAAAAATATTTTATGTAAACAGTATTTATTTTAGGGTGGAATACTTAAATTTAATCAAACCTTGTGATGAAGCTGGGCTAGATTGGACACATTGAATGAAACCTTGCATCCATTTATCAGTGTTGTAACACATTGGAGCAATAATAGTATGTATACGCGTAAATAAGTTTATCTTTTGGGTTGTTTAAATTTATTATTATAATATATATGTATTTTTGATACTATTATTTAAATTGACAAAGCTATTTTGCTATAGGAAAATACGTGATTTTCAAATTAATTTGTACAAACTTTCATTAATTTCGTATAATTTATATCTTTTCATTTTTGGTAAGACTTTATTTTTCACGATCGTGACATTAGCGATTTACCAGTGTTGAAACAAATGATACTAGAGAAGCTTCTACATATATTAAGACACGAAGAATTGTTGAAATACTACACACAATGACACTGCTTGACTATATGTAGCACATTATTATGGAAATTTAATTTCAATTAGCAGTGTATCTTTGCATTAATTTCTTTGATCAAATGTAAAAGTAGTAGAAAAAATATCGAGTGAAAAAGTGATGCACACCAGGATATTGTCTTCAACCTCCACCATCGGTCCAGTTACAATTTGTCGATGTACAATCGATTTATTTTAAATCTTCTTGGATATATATGTCGATAAATCAAGAATTTGTAACATCCAAATCGTCCAAATGCTAAACAATAATGTAAGTTAAGACAGAGCTCTTATATCATTACAGATAGCTGCTGTCCGGCATTGTATAAAGTATGAGGTAGTGCGTACTGTATATTTACTTGTTATTTGTAATATCCGATAAAAGTATAAGTTCTCTAGGAAATGAAAGCTTTTTTAATTGTTGTTGCATTGTATAAAATAGCTAGTATATAAATTGAGTCACGCATGCAATGAAAGAGAAATGAAGAATTTCACTGAAGAAACATCTCTCGTTGAAAGATTTTTAAAAAATCGTGAGTACTAGATTTGGACATAAATAAAAATGTTACATACACATATACATGTGCTGCTACATCCGATATCAAAGGAGGACCAACCGTCTCTTCCCTCTTATCCTACGATAGGATTTACATCGCACATATAATGTTAAAGTTATAATAATGAAGACAAGAATGATTTTCATTAATTCAATGAGTGATTTAATCATCAAAAAATCATAAATTTGCATGTATATTATAACGAGCATAAAGAATTGATCCATGACAGTTAGCTGAAATGAGAAAAAGACTGAAGGATTACATTGCTGTATAATTATGTTTACTTTGACATTGGCGCTATAATTTTAAGTGTTTAGTACTGGAAATTATAACATTAGAATATAATACAAATTTATGGAAATGAGAAGTACTTGATATATCGCAAAAATAGGATGAATTAAAATAACAGCAGCATTCAGAAATAAGACTTAGCACCTAATTTGTGTTTCTTCTTTGTATCGTTACTCTTTGATAACAGAGCATAAGTATGACTTTTATATTCATTATGTTATAATACAATTTTCTAATTTTTGCAGTCAGGATGATTCAGGTCTGATAAGCACCATTATTATTCAAAACAAATGCAGCACGATATACGTTAAATAATTAACTATATAAATGAAGATTTTTATCTTATTTAAATCATTATGTCGTGCTGCTTTCGTCTTGCACAGAAATTTTAATGTTCTTATTTTACGCTATATATGTGTACAACAAAGTAATAGTAATTAGCTTATAATTAACAGTTCGGTATCTGTGTCAGTTTACTGACATGTAACGTATATAACAACGGAAATCTATTCAGAATTTTATTTAAAAGTTATCAGTAATTTTGTACAAAAGAAATAATTTAATGTGTCTCGTTGTGTTAAATATTTTATGTTGACAATATGTTGTAAAATTTTTTACTAATTTAAAAATTTGCAATGTGAAGGATAAGAATGTCTGGTAATTGAATAGCAATTCATTGCATGGAAACTAAAAACGTGATAAGATAATTTTATGCTATTGCAAAGAGATATTCAATTCATTCCTGATCTCAAAGCAAATGAAAATTGAACTGTATATTCAACACAGAAAATATTTATTTTCTCGATGTCACAATCGACTATCCAATAAATTTCTCCAATACATTTACATTATCTGCATGGTATTATTTTGTGCAGTTAAATAATCAATTCTCTCTTCACAGAAGTTTGAATATTTTTCAATATTATTTTTTATATTCTTGTGGTAAATGTTACATTTCGGATAAATCGCTGTGATTATGCTAGGTTTATATATAAGCTTAATATTTAAGAAGCAGCTTTGGGATCAATATAATCACAATTGAAAAATACCGCAAAAAAACGTATATGTTGTATATATAGAAATTTTTCTCAAAAATCATGCACCATTCATTACATGTACAACATTTGAGACAAATGAAAACGTATTGGTTTAACCGAATATCTCCGTTAATATCTGTTTTGTTATATAAAATACATGTAACTAATCTAAGATGTAATTCTATTTAATCTTACATAATCATAAGTAGTCAAAATATATATAGGGTGTTAATTACATACATTAATGTATATAGCATTGTCTTATATTTGTAAAAATTTTATCAGTGTGACAACATTTTGACTACATTTTATTGGTTCTCCGTTTATATATAATTTCTTTAAAAAAATACATAAAAGTGAATATATTCCTTTCCATTATATCATTATATACTACAGAAACACACCCTGTATATTTATAATTTTAGGTCATGGTGCTTTGTAATATACGTATTTAACACTGCTAGGAAATTAGAAAATTTATTCACATGAGCGACCACCGATTTACTGTGGGCCCCTGCACGCTTACAAAATATCGAGCGATACGTACAGAAGGAAAACTGTATTAAAGTAGTAAATAATGCCCCAAATTGAAATTCTAAGGAGTTATTAAACAACGATGAATGTATTTTGTACCTTATTGAAATGTCGTATAAGTTTCTGTTTTTCTACTTAAAAAGTCGTTTACAATTTTATATGTATTTTATATTTACGAAGCCACGACGTGTCACATAAATGTGTATTGTATAATTTGCGGTCATCAATTGATGAATCCTGTTAAATAGTTTGTTGTTATCCGTAGCTTAGGGGCCCCGTATGTAGATATAGTGATAGGCGACAGAATTATTAAATAAATTGTCATCGATGCCTTGTGTAGGTAGTTAATGTCAAATTATAGAATAAATATTCGTTGTCAATTGTAGAACGATATAGGCAAAGCCAGCAGCAGTTATTGTAAAGGTTGTTATCGCGTACTCATTGTGCATATACAACACCTGCGTTCAACTGGTACATATATACATATATATACATATATATGTAATAAAAAGAATATTTGAAAAAAAGAAAACTGAACATACATAAATTTATTCATCTTTCGATACGCCGATACTTTCTACATACGCAACGACAATGTTATTGCTGCTGGTAGAGTCAACTGAGGTACGTAATAAGCAACCTCTTCTGCAATATTATTTCGTATTGTCAAAATAAAGCGAATTTTTAGTAAACTCAATTACATTCAATTCCACTCGACCTAATTAATTAGTTTTCTTTGAATATTAATGAGTTTCGAAGATGATCTTAGCTGTAAGAGAAATTCAATGTAATTTCCAGAGTACATTTAGGAACATGCGGCCAACTAAAAACGCACGTCTGTGTGAAGCTTTTTTATATTTTCTTCAAAGACTTTGTTAATAATAATAATGACATTCATCACAATCTTACAAATATAACATTCAATTATTTTATTATATATCACAATTTCTACTTTGTGTAATGCAGAAAGCTGATTTATTGAGATGTTTCCTAGTAGCAGTATAAAAATATACAATTATTCATGTTAATTATTAATTATATCTATATTGTCTTGGATTATTTTGGGAGGATTCAGAAAATATTCGATTACAAAAGCATTGTCATCATTGAATAGCGTTTCATCATAAAAGCGTATCAGCCTTCGATTTATTAAATATTATTTTACTATTAAATAATAATGAATAGATAGTAGTAAATACTTATTTACTCTATTATATCTATAACAAAATATTTTGTTTTTCTTACAACAACTTTTTCTATGATAGGTAAAGATTCAGGAATATATAAAAAATGTAATCTAATAGATTATAGAATTTTCTTATGCGCAAATATGTATGTATGTAAACGGAATAAGAAAAATCATACATTTTATACAATCTTAAATATTCGATCGTTAATACATTTTTATATTTTTACATTTTGATAAAACTGATTGTTTAAATCGAAATCAAGTATTTAATTGATATTTTATATTATCATATTACCTGAAGTCTATGCTGTTCGATAATGCTACTGAATTTATATTCTACAATAATAAACAATAATAAACGCGATTATAACGCAATTTTATATATATATATATAAAACTTAAACGAATTTATTATATATATTAAATCCATTTATATATTCGTAAATTACAAAAATGGATAGTAAAACAAGTTATTTTTTCATTATTATTAATGATAAGTCGTTACCTTTTAAAATCTATTATATTTATCTTTCGAAAAAAGTGAAATATATTTTTTAGTATAAATATTATTAAAATATAGCTAAAATATTATTAAATATAATAAACTTGCTATAATTTTTCCAAAATTAAAACAATGCGCGTTTATTTGTTCGTGCTAATCTTCCTAGAGTTTCGTAATTAATTTATTTGTTCGTTAATAAATAAATATTATTTTTAATGTTTGGAAAGCAATGTAGACATTAATATAAAAAATTTTGTATTTACATCTGTAATTACAGTATGATATTACGAAGAAAAAAGTTAAGTGATGATTAAGATTATAGAATGGTCATTATAGAATATATAAAATCATGTTGCGTCGCTCTAATCCAATATAACTTTCAATCTTCATATATTTCACAAGAAGTATGCGTTGCTTGTAAAAATATCTTTATATAAAGTTTTTGAAAATGTACACTGACAGAATACACTATGGTGATGAAAGCAGTTCTTATCTAACAAATGCCAATGAAAATTTCTTAGCACCCAAACTGCGTCCTAGACTTGAACGCAGAATTCGTACATCATTTTCCTTCATGACTTCAATCTGCAGTGACGTGAATCCCATCGTCTGTGTCTCTGACTATGATGTTGGACGAGAGAATAAGTTTGACCTCGGCATCTTCATTATGCGTCACAGACGTATCTTTTTGTACAGCGTTCGTAATGTGATGTTTCTTTCTGTGAGACATCATAGTCGATCTAGACACGAAAGCTTTGCCGCATTCGTCGCATTCGTACGGTCGCTCACCGGTGTGTAAACGCTTGTGGATTGCCATCGGACTGAACTGCGTGAACGTTTTGCCGCAGACGTCGCATTTATAAGGACGCTCCCCCGTGTGCGACCGTCGATGGCAACGTAGCGCCGCGCGTCGAGCGAACACTTTTCCACATATCTCGCATTTGAAGCTCTTCTCGCCAGTATGCATAGTCGAGTGGATCCTTAGATCAACCCGCGTGAGGAATCCCTTGCCGCAGACCTCGCAAAGATACGGCTTCTCGCCCGTGTGAATGCGCAAGTGCGTGTTCAGATAACTCTTGCTGACGAACATTTTGTTACACACCGCGCATGGATATTGGCGATTGTCGGTGCCAGAGTGTATCTTCTGATGACTTTTGCAGAGGCCCTTAGTGATGAAACCGCGGCCGCAGATCTCGCACATGTATGGCTTCACGCCGAGGTGACGATTTTCGTGGTCCAACAGCGATTGCTTCGTCTTGAAATTCTGACTGCATTTCGTACAAGAGTACGGTTTCAGGTCTGAGTGTACTCTTTGGTGTACAATGAGATAGCTCTTGCACTGGAATCCTTTGCCGCACGTGGAGCAATTGTAGTCAAATTGGCCTGTGTGTGTAGCCGTGTGTTGCGCGAGGCCGATCTTGCTACGAAACGCCTTCTCGCACGTCGTACATTGAAACGGTTTCTCGCCTGTATGCTTGCGCATATGTTCTTGTAGCTTGTAATTTGACTTATACTGTTTGCCGCATTCTGTACACACCTTCGCGGTCCACTTCCGTCTTACCGTCGACTGTTTCTTCTGCCCTTCTTGATTGTCATTGCTCTCTTGCAACGACACTGCATTTAACTGTACATCCTTCTCTTCCTTATTGACTACTTCGTTAGTTTTATATACATCGCATTGTTCCTTATGTAGATTTAATTCCTCGACACTAGTAAAATATAGACCGCAGGGACAGCAGCAAAAATGCTGCTCGAAATGTGCGGCTAGATTGGTCGTCTCCAAAGCTGCTTCGTTGCAAAACGGGCACATATACCAGTTAGAACCGGTCTCATCTATGGTAGGATTGCTAAGCGTAGATTCTAATAATGCGTGTTTCGTTCTCTTCGTGTATTTAACCATTATTTCGCAATGTACGCCGTTTATCTGACTCGTAGATGGTAGGTTCATGGAGTCCACATGTTCGTGAGTTCCATTTTCGTTTATACAAGATTCTTCTATTTCACTTTCCGTTTCAACTTGAGAAGAGACGAAATTATCTACTGGTATCTGAATTATAAATCGAAATAGATATAAACAAAATCATATCACACAATTATATTAAGGAAGGTTTCGCCTGAATTGGGCTAAAATTAGTAGGTGATATTAAAAATTTTTTTACTTACGTTTTTTCATTAAAATGAATTATTTACTACGTTGTTAATATAAAAATCGGTCGGAAAATTATTTTCAATTAGTAGGCATGATATCTTGTCTTTATTCTACTTGAACCAAAAAATAAAATAAAATAAAAATTTGAATTAAATATTCTTAAAATTTTAAGAAAATGCAAAAAAAGGTGATTTTTCCAACCCAATTCAAGCGAAACTCTTCTTAAACAATTTTTATTTTTATGACTATTTTATTTGCTTGTGATTCTAAATAATAATTAATTTTTTTTTATAAATATTGTCCATTATTCAACATACTTACATTATTTTTGAGTATGTGCTGTGGCTCTTCCGCGGTTAATCTATCTTGCAATCTGTGGTATTCCTGTTTTATTGGATCTGCCTCGTATTTTACATTTTCACAGTAATGTACTATTTGCTCTTGGCTCTGATCTTCAGGATTAATAGAGGTAACATAATTTATCCCTAATTGACTCAAGTGGCCACCCAGGTTTCCCACTACAGTAATATCACTATCCAAGTGCATTGCAATTTGATGGTTTGAAACCTACAAAATGTACACAGATCATAAATTAAAATTCGAATTAAAAAAATAGAATATCTTAAATTATTCTGCAGCATAAACATTAGCATTCTATTTTGCTTTCGGAAAGATATTAAATAAATTTCATACTATTAGGTGTAGTAAAAAGAAATCCATTATTTTTCCAATAGATAGCTTTAGTAATCTGTATCTCGTCTACGCGTGATACAGATTACTAAAGCCATCTCTATTAGAAAAATAATGGATTTCTTTTTACTACACCTAATATTTAATTATATAATAAAATAGCACAATAATAAAAATATAAGTTAGCAAAATTTTAATATGTACATTGTTGGAAGAGATGTCCATATAACATTAATTCTAATTAATTACTCTTTTGTATAGCTAATATTAATTTAAATTTAAGGCATCAATCAAAATTATCTAACGTCACATAATATTATTTTTAATCGGATAAACTATACAAATAAACTTTCTTACTTGTGCTAGATTTACATAGTCATACATTATACACAAAATAATGATCAAATGACTTGTTTGATTTACAAAAAGAAAGTAGATAGAAATTGGTTAATTACCTCTCGTATATGTTCATCAACCATTCTCACGGTATCACCATCTAAACAGTCAATGCCTTGTATATCTGTATCTTGTTGACTCATTTCTTCTTGTGTAACTACTTGTTCGCCACCAGCCAAGTCCATTTCGTCCATTACCTGCATCGTGTGTATGGTAGATTCTGTAGTTTCGTGAGTTACGGCCGAATGGCTTTGTACATTTTCATTATTAATCTGTATGCTAGTCAGGTTTCTCTGAATTGTGCCCATGTTATTCACGCTTGCCAAATCGTGCTCGGATAGATGCACAATCTCCTCTTTGCCAATCTCCTTCAACATTTCCATAAACATTCCTTCTGTGTGTAGACATTTCTCACGGAAATCAAACAACTGATCCAGTTTAAACGCGCATTCTTCACAGACCACTTTGGGCAGTTGATCTGTCAATGATACCTGAAATTTGCAAAATTATAATACAATATATAGTCCTAACAAGCATTATTTATCCAATCTTCTACAGCGTAAACATTAGCATTCTATTTTGCTCTCGGAATAAAAATATAAAATAAATTATATGCTATTTGATTATAATAAAATAGCATAATAATAAAAATATAAGCTAGCAGAATTTAAATACGTATATTTTTACAAGACACTCACATAACATTCATTAATTCTAATTAACTATTCTTTTGTATAGGTATAGCTATATAATTTAAAGGTAAGACATCAATTAAAATTATTTAACGCTTTGCACATTAATTGAGTACGAAAAAAAGCATACATCTCCAATCTGGGTAGAGAACGAACGGTCAGTAAATTAACGCAGAGACTCATTCGTTTCGATCCAAAGCCAAAGGTATTTAAAAAATTAGGATAGGAAATTAATTCGCCGCTGTCAGTATGATGCTGTGTTCGCTCATTGCGCTGCATCCTTACCTGAACCGGTAGACAGGCCTCTATCTTCTTATCGATGTTGCGCATCTGATCGCCGGCCTCGAATATCGGCAGGCCCATCAAGATACCAGTCTTGGTCGCGCACAGGCGGCACAGATAATCGAACTCCTCGACGACGGCCATGTCGACAATACCGAGGTTCTCTCCTTCCAAACGCGAGTCACCGACGGCGGATGACGCGGACGAGGGGCAGGGGAAGTCCTCTCGTTCCCAGAGAGAGCGGCAACGATTCGCTGATTCCGCGTACGCGCATCCCTCACGGCGACGTGCCGCGAAATGTCACTTTAAAACGCGTCGCACCGTGAATCCGAATCAGTCCGCGCTACACCATCGGGAGAGCTTGTTCTATCACGGTCAGGCGGTTCAAGTCAGGAGTCCAAACTCCCTTCCCGGAAAGATTGGAGTTGTCGGCGTCGCCTTCCGCGAAGAATTAGACTCGGAGCGAACTAAAGTCAGTCACGTGACAGAGTGATGGGAAGTCGCGCCAAATCCGAATCGTGTAGGCACGCCACATATGTATTTTTAGGATCGATTGTGTACCTTGAAATGAAGTGAAAATTAAATACAAAAGTGAATAAAAAAATTCTTGAATATTTAACAATTTCAAAATATTTTAATTTAGAATATTTAATAATTTCATTAGATCTGCTGCGTTGCCTCCTTGTGCTACCATTATGTTACACCTCGTTTAAGAGAAGCCGAATAATTTTCTTATTTTAAGAGTATCATATGAATGTCCTCTTTTATTAATTAATATGAACGGGATTTTTATTTTGAATCTCGCGCCACACACGCAGTCGCTTTTTTAGCTCCTTTTCTTTCAACGATGAAAAGTTGGTTCACGAATTTAAATATTTGAATTTTAATATTTCAATATTTTTTCATATTTAATTATTTGAATATTCGGTTTAGATCGCTTCTTGTCGAAGTGTTCTTGTACTCTTTCTGGTTTTTTCGTAGTTTTTTGTTATTTCTCATGTAGGAAGTTGTGAGCATGAAGAGATGTAAAGTTGTGATTTGTGAACTATATTACTGTACGCAATTGCATGGTGGAACTGTGAGTACTCGGTGTGTATCCTTGAACTGCGAGCGATTAGATACGGCTCGTTCAAAACGACATTGAATCGGAGGAATTCGACGAGAATTGTTCTGCGTATTCCACAGAATACACTTGCGACGTCGCGCGACGTTTACCTGCTGCAAGTGCGATTGCAAATTTGTCGCAGGCACCGGCGAATGGAGAAAGTTAGGTTAGGTTAACTCGTGGCGTTCAGTTTGCAGCTGATGGATACGATGGAGAACACACCGCCTATCAAAAGCAACAATCCTGCTCCTACAGTAGAGCAGATCAACGCGGACAGAATCACCCAGGTATTTATTCTTGATCGCCTCGCTGATGTTTATTACAAATTGTTGAAGATGTAATCCCCAATTTTGTGATTAGGCAAATTTTCCATTAATTATTGTTGTTATTTTTATGTTTTAAGATGTTATATTCCAAATTTTGTGATCAAGCAAATTTTCTAGCAATTCTTGCTATTATTTTGTAGATTTGGAATTCTCTTTGTGTGATTACATTGGATGCTTCCTGTTTGTTCATTTGTATATCACATAACATGTTGAAAAGCACTCTTCGTTACTCACTGATTGCCAAAATAAATAGAGGATGCTTTCCATTTAATGGCTCAAATCATTATAAACATCATTTTATCTTTCTTGACATTCAATGAAAAACAAAGATAGGATGACATTTATACTGACTTGTGTCACTAAATAGAAAATATCCAAAAATAGAATTATCATTGTGTTAATTTTTGTCATTAAAATGGAAATTTATGTGATTCTGTTGTTTTGCAGCTTGCGAATAAATACTGGGCACCACACACCACAAACACGCATCTGGCATTCAATTCGCAAGTAGTGGATGACATTTATGTACAGGAAATATGTGCGTCCAAATTTTCTGTCCGGAGGATCATGATGCTAGAGTTCAGCCAATACTTGGAGAATTTTCTCTGGTCAAATTACAAGGCGGAGAGTGCCACGCGGGAGCACACTATGTCCATTGTCGTCATGGTGAATGAAAAGTTTAGGGAGCGGGTGCAAGTGTGGGAGGCGTTTGAGAAGAATCCGGCAGAGTTCGCCGGTTTTTTTCAAAATGTTCTCGAAGCGTGCTTGGAAGAAAGTATAATGGACTTCAATCTGAAGGAACAGACGGCGTTGATAGTGTTCTTGAATCATTGCTTCAACTCCATGGAAGTATCTTTGGTTCGAGAAGAAGCCAAAAGGCTAGTGTCACTATCCATGTGGATCTCCTTGCAGCAAGGCAGAAGAGAACTCGAATTTAGAAAGTATCCAAAATGGAGGAAGTATTGGAAAATTATAAGGAAAAAAGATAATTTCGAGCATAAAGAAAAACTTGAATGGGAACGTAAATTCTTGCACAAACTTATGATAAAATTCATGACGATATTGGAAACAATTCCTGCAGAAGGTATTTATGAGAATCTTTTTACATATTATCCAATTAAATTTTACATGTATTTTTTTAGAAAAATATATTTCTCGATTTTTTAAATAAAGCTAAAAAGGACCAGAATGAAAAAAGTGATTTCAAATTAGCTGAAATCATGATATTTTGTAGTTTATGAGATCCTGATCAAAAATCTATAAGCAAAATCATAAAAATAATTAGATTTTTCTGTAACACCATTTGAAAATTACTATTTTGAGTTTAATTAGATTGAAAAGTATTTTTATCTACAGTTTGTTTTTTTAATTGTATAAGCACTTAATTGTTCCATACCATACTTAATAGTTCTTAATAATTAAATATAACCATTCTTAATAATTCTTAATAATTAAATATAACCATTCTTAATAATTCTTAATAATTAAATTTAACACTTCTTAATAATTCTTCATAATAACCATTCTTTATCTACGATATAATTTGTTTTTTTATTTGTATAGATACTTGTGTTCAGGCATATACTTATATATACCGAACATAATAATGTCAAATATTAAATAGCCATCGACACACATATTCACGTACCAACAAATATGTACATTGCACCCATTCTATCCTTTCTTGTGCACACTAAGAAAAACCTACTTATAATTAGTTAAGGAAATTAATATGATTAAATATGTATTTAACTCAACTGCATAGATGCTTATATAATGAAAAAAATTATAATATAAATAAGGTGTTTTTCAGTATAATTAGACCCAACATTTTAACTTTTAATGGTGCTATAGCAAATATCTGTAGGAGCAATCAATATCTCATAAGTTACAAAACATCATAATAATTTCAACCAATTTGACTGAGATCACTTTTTTCATATGTTAATGTGCAGTCTGTTTACTAAATCTTGTTAGCAATAAAAGAATTAGATTATTAATTAGATAAAGAATTAGATAATTAATTAAGAATTTAAAACTTATCTTCAATTAACAATTTTAATTATATGGTTTTAATAGGACCTGTACTTCCGGATAAAGTGCGTTACTGCGAGAGATTTTTGGAGCTGGTCATCGATCTCGAAGCTTTACTTCCTACCAGACGTTTCTTCAATACTGTTATGGATGACAATCACCTGGTGGTGCGTTGCCAGTTATCTAATCTGCTGCATCGTCCAGAGGGAAGTTTGTTCGGACAGGTAAGTTGTCGCAATGTTTGTTAAATATGTTTGTTATTGTAAAATATATAAATAGGGCAGGTTAAATAATTTAATTTACGATATTAATTCGAATATTCATTTAGCGAATTTAATATCTCTCTCGTACAAAAAATCGATTTACTATATAAATATTAAACACAAATATTAAAAGTATAAGATCATTTGAGATTCGGTGACACATATTTTAATTATACTGTGCAATACGTCCGCTGACAAACTTGTCCGTAAATTAGCGATATTGCATAATATAATATTGCATAATATAATCGATTTTATACTTAGATTAAAATCTAAATCAGTACACTTGTGGCAACATGATACGCTATGAACATGGATAAATGCAAGCTACTAGACGTGTTAAAATTGTGAAGTGATAAAAATATTTCGATAAGCGTACATTTTTATAAGGCAAGAGATTAATTTCGTTTTAAGGCACGCATAATCACCAAACATGAAATACAAAAGACGTACGCAATTTTATCAGTGCCATCGTTTGTCGACTCGAATTTAATAATCAAAACACATCATATATTTTTTATATGATACTATAAATTTTTTAATTTTATAAAATTTTTCAATGCCTCGTCGACTTTCCTGACTTCTTATATTCAACTTGCACATTAATTTGATTATTGCATCATTATTTACAATATATTGCTGCATTATTCGACATATATGTATCTTAATATATTCTTTTCTTGCACGTTTCATGTTTACTTTTCTAAAGTAACACTGGTACGCACATAATACTGTTTCCTTCTGAAATAGAGATATATCCACGCATTTTTCACACTTTCTAAAGAATATCTTTTGGTTTGAATATATATGCGCATATATCTATGGTATATGTATGGTAAAATTTGCGCATGAAAGATATACGTTTATGAGCTATGACTCTAAAATTATGATCATAATATAAAAAAACACAAAGAGTATATTCTCAGTATCTTCGAATACACTTGTACTTTAACGACTGTATGGAATGCTTCTCACACTTCAAACATGTTATATGCATTCCTCTTTATTCTGTGAGCGATGTGCGTTTTACTAATCGTGATTTAAACGCGCTATCGTCATCACTCGATCACGACTCGAATACAGATCATGCTCGTAACACGAGTAATTGTTCGTAAAGCGCTTTAATAACCTGCATTGATAGCTGTCATCTCCTCGCCCCAGTCGAGGCCTTCGGTGTTGTCACCGGAGTCGCAGCAGTTGCACGTTTTCCCGAGTAGAAACGTGACTCTTCGCTGACCGAACACGCACACGTAGAGAATGAGCAGGTACTTGAACTGCGAGAGCAGTAGCGAAAACCAGCCGGCGCTCATGATTGCGTAGAGAAAAACAAACATCCGGAAACTGTATTTCATTTTGTGATGAATACGGCCGTACGTGCTCATCCGCTTGATCCTGTTTGCAGTCGTCAGTATCAGGCATAGATCGATCACGATGGTGAATGCGATGCACATGAATATCACGGAGAGTCCGAGCCAGCCTACAGTTTCCTGGGCGGGATAAGTCGTGCCGCCTACAGTGGGTTTGTTCGTCTCGAGGGCGAAGTGCGCGAAGATCGCCGTAGTAGCTAAGCAGGCCGTCAAACCCCAGACCCAGGACGAGTAGTAGCAGTACTTCCTACCGTCGGTTACTCGCAGGAAAACATTGCGCGACCTGAACGTGTTCCATACGTAGTAGCCCAAGGCGCCGAGCCAGAAGAAAGCGGCCATCAGGAAAACGTACATGATAGTGTCTAAAAAAAAAGACGGATATTATTTCAATATTGTATTTTCTGGCATACATCCGGCCTGGAAATTGTCCTGTAATTTGCTTTCGCAACAGAAGGTTGTTCGAGTGGTCGCA